AGGAAGAGGATGAATAAGACCCACACAACAACATGGGGAGGGGGGCAAAAGGGGACACAAAAGGTCCTGTCCTGCAGGGATCAACCACCCCAGGCATGGGGTTCAAGGGATGGGGAAGGACCCCGCAGGGTTCTGGGGGTGATGGATGGGTGAGAGCCCCGCGGGGGGGGAACAACTTGGCTGTTGCATTCAGAGCCCCTGGTGGGTGTCATTTTGGGGTGCTCCGTATCCCTCCCAACCCAGCCTGCCCGGCAGGGGCAGATCCCCATCACCAAGACCGGGATGCAGCAGGGGGGGTGGGCAGGACTTGGGGTCCATCCTCAAGGCAGCACCGGGGGGGGTTGCCCCGCTGCGCTTGGTCTCCCGGAGCCCCCCTTCACCCGTCCCCGCCACCAGCATCGCCCCGGGGGTGCCGTTGCCTCTCCCGCTGCCCTGCGGCCGGGCTGGCCGAGGCGGTGCGAGCAGGGCCCGCACGCCGCATACCAGAGCCGTGAATAACCCCCCCCCCCAGCCCTCCCTCCTGCCCTTCCCGGCCCCCCCCCCCCCAGGTCCCTTCCCCGGCCCCTTCACCGGCAGCTTCTCGGGGATGGAGCCCGCTCGCCCTCGCTCCTCTGGAATGGGGGAAAACGGGACCGCCGGTTCCCTCGGCCCTCGTCGGGCTTCTCCTCCCCTCCCCGTCCCACGGGCCCTTTTGTTTTCCATGGCACCGACCCACTACCGCAGGCGGAAAACGGCTGCGGGGCCCGTCCTCCGCCCGCCTCCCCCGGAGCCCGCCCCCCCCGCCTTGTCCCCGGAGCGGGGGGAGCACCCAAAACTCTGTCCCCCCCCGCATCTCGGGGTCCATCTCGTCCCCCACCACTTGCAGGGGATGTCTATGGGACAGGGCAGAGGGGGAGAGCATGCGGCGTGCTTCTGGCTGAGGAGTCTCCTCTAGGAAGGGGGGAAAGGCTTTGGGGTCTCGGGGTAGCAGGATGTGTGACAGGGTAGGTGTCCCAGAGGCTCTGTCAGGGTGCAAGGGGAAGGTGGACAAGTGTTGATGTCACCCAGAGTCATCTCCTTCACCCTGCAGTGAACTGCTCCAAAGCAGATTCCTCCTCCAGCCTCCAGGACCACTTGGACAGAAGTGGGCAAAGCATCCAAGCCTGGGATGCTGAGCAGGTCCTTGCTCCCTGCCCTCCCACTGGCCAAACTGGGGTATCTCTGGTAAGAAACCCGCCTGCTGTGGGGCTGGGGTTGGAGCAACCTGGTGTGAGACCCCCTTAGCGTGGAAGCAGAGGTGCAAGGACTCCCATCCCAGAGCAAGCCAGCTCCTCTTTGGAACAGACCCTGAGCAAGAGGAAGATGGAGCAGGGATGGAAGCTGGAGCCCCCAGGAGAGCTTCAGCTCCGTGTAGCCCAACCACAGCTCCCTGTCTTCACACTTGTGCTGACGCAGCCGTCGCTGAGGCCAGGCTGCGAACAGACTTGGCGTTAAAAATAGTGCCGTGCAAGGGAGAAGGGGATTAGCTTGCATCCAAAGCAGTTCATCAGGCAGGCTTGCAGCACGGCTGCTGCCACACGGGTCAGAGAGGCATCTTGTCCAGGGGGGTCAGGACTTGCTTTGTGAGGCATTTGTTGGGGCTGTGCCCGTCTTGAGTGTGCTGCTGTGGAGGTTGCTTCCTGACCCCCCTCCATGGTTTGATATCGGTAGTGCCCATTACCCCAGTGCAGGGCAGGCTGGCATCTGGCTGGAGGATGGTCCATCGGGCCCCCATGCTGTGAAGCACATTGTGAGCATCTTCAGAGCCCCTCTGCAAGGGGATGGGGTGCGGAACCGATGGGGGATGCAGAGCAGGGGTGACTGCAGAGGACCAGACCTCATTCTGCCCACTCACACCCATGGAGCAGACGAGAGAGGCTGCTCTGAGCCCTTCTATGGGGACCACAGTCTCCATCTGTGACCCTGCCGAGGTACAGCCCCCCACAGCACTGCGGCGACCATACCGACATGGCAATGCTCTCTTCCCTTGATTTTTTGATCCAGGATAAGAGACAGTTTTGGATGGGAGGGGAATAAAAGCTTATTTACCCCGGAGCTGTCTCTAACAAAGGGTGCCAGACGCCTCCACACACTTTAGGTGACACTGTAAGTGTGTGACAGTGGGTGCAAGCTCAGTCCCCGGGGCTGGCGGCAGGCTGTGGAGAAGGGTTAATGCCTTAGGAGGGGCTGAGCGATCCCGGATGCTTTAACCCTTTCCAACCCCACTGAACACGGAGCAGATGGGAGGATGCAGAGCTCTATCCCTGACCCTTTCATGTGCCCTTGGGCATCGGGTGCTAATTAGTGCCCCCCTTAAAAAGGAGCAAATTTCAACATCAACCAGCAAGGGAGGTAGCTCATCATAACGAGATTCCCTGTAGATCTGTTAGGCGGGGAAATCTATTACTCTCTAATTAAATGAAAGCCAAAACGATTGTTCTTTTCCTATTCCTTGTATGTTTCTAAGCACGAAACTCAATTATAAGTGGATCCGCAGAAAGGGATTTGTCTACAAGGGGGACTCTCTGCTTGGCACGGGGGGTTTAAAAGCAGGAGCAAACACCTGCGCTGCTGTGGAGGTGCCTCGGTTTCCCAGGATAGGGCATTTGGGTGGGCACCCCTGTGCTTGCTGCCTCTTTGCTTGCAGACCTGCTTTGTCTGTCTCCCCAGTGCTCAGTGCCGCAGGAGAAAGATGCAGAGGCCGGGTTTAAAACAGCAAATAATTCTCTGGAGGATGGAGAAACGAGTGTTTGTTCAGGGGGGATCTTCCGGGGTGCGTTTGGGGAGGGTGAAGGGCACCAGTGGGGTATCAGGGGTCACCCATGGGTGCTGGTGAGGGGGTGACCATCCCCACATGACATCGCGACACTGTCTCTCAAGCAGGGACACAAGGAGGGCATTTGGCTTCGTAGCTCCAGATAAGAAAAGCAATCAAAGGCAGCCTTAAATCTTCGCCGTGTAATTGTGGGCTTAAATCATGGCCCGGACGAGATGGGGATGCAGGGCTGGGGAGGGGGCATAAATCCACTGGACACCTTCTTATCACCCCTGCTCTGGGATTGTTTGGGACCGGGGTGACACTAACCCCATCCTGCCCCCGGCACAGTGCTGGGGATAGGGTCACGTTTATACCTACCTACAGGGTGTGTGTAGGAGACAAGGGTTGGGGTTTTGCATGCACGGAAAAAAACGTGTACATGGACAGTGTGGGTATTTAGCATGCATTTGTATGTATATTGAGCATATATATTGTGTGTGCATAGGTACACAGAGCTTATATACATTGTATGTATGATTGTATGTATTCTTGCTGCCTACACATATTGTAGGCGTATCGGGGTGTATGTAGAGTGTATGTGCTCGGGAAAAGTATTTGGTTTTCTTATATAGTGACTTTATAGAGCATCCACAGACTATAGAATATATTTGGTTTATGATATTTTCATGCCTCTGCTGTATTTACATCTATTTGTTGTGTATATAGACTGAGTACACACGAAATTCGATGAGTCTATGAAATGTGTGCACAGAGAGCATAGAACTATTTGTGCGTATATACCGTGGATGTGTGTGTATAAAATGAGTGTATACAGCAGAGATGTGTATATAGAGGGTGTAGTTGTATATATAGTATGTGTGTGAATTATATATAATATGCATAGACAGAATTAAAAGATATATACCGTGTGCAGCATGGTCTATGGGTATAAATATATATGTACACATTTATAGCGTGTGTGTTCTGCCTGTCGCTGCGGCGATGTCTCTCCACGCCGTCTCCTTCCTCCTCGTGGTCCCCTCTGCTGTACCGGGCTCTGCACTGGGCAGAGCCGGGGGAACACCGGGTGCAACCTCCCGCTCGCCCGCATCAAACACAAACCCGGCTCCACTTTCAATCCCTTTTATTGACTCTTTCACAGATAGAAGCTCGCAGAAAGGCGCCCGCGGCTCTCGCCGGTCCCAGGGCTCCCGGGGACCGGAGGGATGGGGTGAGGGGTTGCGGTGGCGGTGACCCCCTCGCCTCCCGGGGCCGGATCCCCACCGGCAGCACGGGCCCGTCTACGGCACAGACACTTGGCTACAAGGCTACTCTACCCAACACACATCGAGGGGTCCCGCCGGGCCGGGGGTCGGGATGGGACCGAGGCGGGGGGGGCGGGGGGGGGCGGGTCTGGCGGCCGCCGCTACACCGGGGGAACGATCTGGGGGAGCGGAGCTGTCCAGCCCCGCCGGTGCTGAACGGGGGAGCCCCAGGGAGCCCCGGCACCCACCGGGCAGCGAAGAGGGGACCGCACCGGGGGACCTCCAGCACCCACCGTGGAAAATAGGGATGCACCGGAGCGCGATAGGCACCTACCGGCGGGGACCCACCGAACCGAGGGGATCGGCGGGGACCCACCGGGAAGCGGAGTGGATCCGGGAGTGGGGAGGATAACGCCGAAGAGCGGCGGGGACCGCACCGCGGCTCCGCGGGCCCGGACCGGGGAGCGCAGGAGCGGACCGGGGAGCAGAGGACACTCACCAGGGACCGAGGGAGCGGCGGGACCGGACCGCGGAGCGGCAAGGACCCGCCAGGGACTGAACTGTATCCAGAGAGAAAATGAGGTTTTGGGATTCCGGGATTTTTCCTTTTACCCATTTTTTTTTTCCTCATCGTTTTCGTTTTTCTCCTTTAAGGGGAGAGAAAACACGGGGTGGACGGAGAGCAGAGGCGGGCGGGGGACCGGGAATCGTTGCGGTGATGTCTCCGAGCCGGGAGCGAGGAGACCTCTGGTATCCAAAACGGAAACGAAATCCTGGGAGAAACGTCCCGCCCGCACCGAGCATCCCCGGGGCCAAGTCCCTTCCACCGGGACCTGACGCAGGAGGAGGAGGAAGAGGAGAAGGAAGAAGGTCAGGCGGGCGCTGCTGAGGATGCTCCGGTCGTTCCTCAGAGGAAAAGCAGCGGCGGTGCCCCGGGAGGCGGGGGGGGATGAAGGGGAGGTGGGGACCGGGAGGGGATCGGGAGGGGGGACGGGGAGGCTCAGCGGGGGCGCTGCCGGTAGTTGCCGTTGATCTCTTGGGAGATGGTGACGGCCTCGGCGCCCAGCGGCAGCTTGTCGCTGTACTCGGAGCGGATCTCAAACTCCTCGCCGTTGGCTTTGGATTGCGACTCCACCATGGAGCTGGCCGCCACGCTCTCCTCTCGCTCCAGCTCCGGAGCCCCTTCGCCTTCCCTCCTCCCCCTCCATCTGCCTCCTTCGTCATCCTCCTCCTCATCTTCCTCCTCCACCTCTGCTTCACCCACTTCGCTGGGATTGAAGTTCTTCTCGGACTCCAGGTAGGAGACGCGGGGATCGAAGTCGGCAGCCATGTGCTTCTCCATCTGGTCCGGGTTCTGGGCCTTCATGATGAGCTTGTAGGTCTTCCCCTGGTACTTGGAGAGGAGGTGGCACCACGTGGCCCCCATCAGTGGTAAGGTGGCCAGCACCAGCAAGAAGATGCTCACAACCACAATGATGATGAGCGAGGGGATCTCCTTTTTGGTGGTGAAGACCACTTGGACCTGGCAGTCCTCCCCCAGGTAGGTGAGACACACAGAGTAGTTGGTGCCAGGGTTCAAGCCCTGGAACCAGTACGAGTTCACCCCTTCCTCGATCTTGGACCACTGGACCAAAGCGTGGCCCTGCCTGCTCTCCTGGCACAGGTAGAGCATCCTGAGGTGGACCTTCTCGGGCTGCATGTAGGTGGGTGTGAGCTGCACCCGGGCATCGCGCTCTGACACATCTAAAGCGATTACCCCCAGGTCGAAAGTGTGCTGCTTGAAGTCACCGCTCTCGTTGAAGGCGTGGTTGGAAATGTACTTGCTGGTTTGTATGGAGCCACACTTCTTCTCAAAGGGTGGAAGCTGGAAAGGGACTTGCCCATCTCCCGTGGACTCCACCTCAGCTGCCATGGATGGTTGGCTCTGCCGGGTGGGACCAAAGGGTTTGCTTCTGTCATCTGGCATGAGCACACTGTTCTTTGCTCCCTTGGCCCCAGGCTTCTTGTCACCTGGCTGTGCTTTGCCTCCCAGCGGATCCCTCCCAGGCTGCAGGGGGTATTTCTGGGTGCCTGCCACAGCCACATTGACCGAGGTCTGGTTGCTCCCCATTTCATTGGTGGCCAGGCAGGTGTAGGTGCCTTCTTCCCGCTTGCTCAGGTGGGGAATCACCAACGTGCCGTTCTTGAAGACCAAGAAGCGCTCAGGGTCCTGTTTGGGGAGGTCCTTCCCAGTGCTCTCCTTCGGGTTCCCGTTGAGTTCCAGGGTTTGGCTGGAGGTGCGGATCTTCCAGCTCACTTCAGGTGGTGGGGTACCCGTCACAGCACAGTGCAGTGTCAGGGTGAAGCCATCAAACAGCTCCGTGGTGTCCAGGTTGGGGTAATAGGTGAGCTGCACGGTAGGTGAGGTGCACTGCACATCAGGGGTCTTCCCCACCGGCACTCCTCGGAGCTGGTCCGGGAGGGCACAGGTGATGGAGTCCTTCTCGGGGATGGAGATGAGAGTGCTGTCCATCCACTTCTTCAACCACTGGAGCTTGCAGGAGCACTCGAAGGGGTTGTTGTAGATCTGCAGGTGGGAGAGGGAGCTGAGCGAGTCGAAGATACCCTCTGCAAGGGTGGTGAACTTGTTGTTGTTAATGCGCAGGGATCGGAGATCCTTCAGGGTGTGGAAAGCTCCCTGAGGCACCAGAGCCATGTGGTTATTGTTCATCTTGAGCAGCTGGAGAGCACTGAGGTTGTAGAGGTCCTGCCAGGGGAAATCCACAATCTGGTTGTGGCTGATGTCGAGGTTTTTGAGCTGCACCAGGATGGCGAAGGTGCCGAGCTCGATGGAGCGGATCTCGTTGTGTGCCAGCCAGAGCGAGGTGACCTGGGTCACCTCCACGAAGGAACGCCGCTGCAGGGAGGTGATCTTGTTGGCCGAGAGGCTGAGGGTGGTCACGTTGGAGGGCAGCCCCGTGGGCACCACTTGAAGGTCCTTGTAGGCGCAGTCGGCGAACTGGTGGGCATACTTGTCCACGCAAGCGCAGGGCTCGGGGCACGCCCCGGCCAGGCCGAGCAGGGCCACCAGCCACAGGACCAGCAGCGGGGCCATCTCCCCCTGACAAGGGACACAAGGGGGGCTCGAAGGGCTCCTGCCCCCTCTCCCCACCAGCCCCATTGTCTGGGCCCGGCCCCCGCCCCAGCTGCCCCTCCACCTCACCCCTCACCCTTTCTCCTCCTGCTTCCCCTTTCTCCCCCTCTCCCCTGCTTTGCTCCCGTTCCTCCCTGGCTCTTCCCACCCTTCTCACTCTCTTTTCCTTGTCTCGATTCGGCTCCCCCACCACCTTCCCCCCCCCCCCCCCGAAAATATTAAATCTCGTTTTCTTACTTCTCTGCTCTAATTTCTCCCTTTCCTATTATTTATTTTGCTTTTCTTTTTCCTTTCTTCTACCTTTCAGCCTTTTCTCTCTCCATGTCCCTACTTTTCTCCCTCCCTTCTCCATCTCTCCCTAGTTCTCTCCTTCCCTATTTTCCCCTTTCCCCTGACACCCCCCCCCCTTCTCCCCTGTACCCTACACCCCCCCCTCACCCCCCGCCTCACAGCACCGGCGCTGACCCCGCACCTTACCCGCTCCTAAGTGGCGTTAAGCAACACGCAGCCCTTCTTCTCGCCGTTACCGGTCTTCCGCATCCTCCTCCCGACTCTCAGAGGAGCCTCCGCCAGGCCGGACACGACGGTGAGGGGCGCGGCGAGGAGGTTGGGGGGACCTCACCGGTACCCCCCTCCGCACCTCTCCTGGCTGAGCTGCGAGCCGGAGCGGGGCCGTACGGGCACTGGGGCTTGCCGAGGAGGGAGCGAAGGGAGGAATTAGCATTTCTGCCAGCCTCCCCCTCCGCACGGCTGCCCCCTCCCTCCTCGCCACCCCTTTCCCATCCCACCACCCACCCACCGCCAGCCTCCGGCGGGGACGGACCCGGCTGCTTCCCGGGGCGGGCGCGGCGCCCGCTCCCTCCCTTCCTCCCTCCCCAAAATATACAATAACGAGCACGAACGCCCTCCCCGCGCAGCAACGAGTACAACTCGCTCGCACTCGGCAGCAGCCTTCATCCAGACCCCCTGCTCGCCGCTTGCCCTCTATTTCTCACCCCTCCGCCTCCGTTTCCCACCCCCTGGAGGGACCGGGATGCCGTCGGGGCAGATGCGGGACTCGGCCGCTCGCTGCGGTATTTCTGGGGGCGATGCGCGCCTGTGCCGCCGCCCCAGCCCGTCCCGTCGCGGGAGGTTCCCTTCTGCAGGGCGGACAGCGAACGCGAAAGGGCTTTGGGGAATTTAAAGGCTTAAATGGGGGCACGGGGGTTCTCGGAATGGGACCGTTCCCCTCATCTTCCTCCTTAAGGTTTGAACCCCCCGGAAAGGTGCAGTAACGGGGAGCCCCCTCTCCCCTCTGCAGTTTCTCCTCGACGTGGGGGTCTGTTTTCCCCCACCTCTCCCCAGCCCTGCCCTCGCCTTTCCCTCGCTATGAAATCCAGAGAAATCATTGATTTTGGGAGCGGGATCGATTCCTTCCTACCTCCCATCATCCCCCCCCCGCATCCCTCCATCCTCCGCCCCATCGGCGGCTGCCCCCGGGAGCTCTGCCAGTGTGCGGGGGGGAAGGATGGGGCGGGCCCCGCGTGGGCTCGGGTGGGTCAGCTCGGTCCTCCCGCTGCTCCCGACCCGGCTCTGTCGCGACAGCAGCGGCTCCACCTTGAACTGCGGCTCCCCCCCGACATAGCCCCCCCGCGAGGGCTGGGCACTTTCCATGGGGCTGCGGGGTTGGGGAGCCCCGAAGGGCTTTGAGGGGGTCTCGCCTCTTCCCTGCTTGCTCTTCCGCGGAATAAAAGCCCGATCGGTCATTTCTCCCTCGGAGGGAGCCCGGCTCCGCATCCCCGCCCCGAGGCCACGGGGATGGGCGTGTTGTCTTCCCAAGGACGACCAGCAGGAAGCGGGGGGATTGAAGTGGGGGTTGGCGGCTGAAGGGGCAGAGAGGGGAAGCTGCTTGACAGCAGAATGTCAGGTCCGAGCCTCCGGGAGCCTCCGACCCACAGAAACCGTGCCCAAAGCCCTCACCCCGACGCCTGGTCCCCGGTGAGCACCTCGGGCAGAGCGGTCTGCCTCAGGAGTGCCTCAGTTTCCCTTCAGCCCTGCAATCTGAGGCCTGGCAATGGGTGATACCCACAGGGTGGGCGAGGAGCTTGGGGGTCACCAAACCTCCTTGTTTCCATGCAAATGAACCAACGCTGCCCGAATGCGGCACCGTGGTCACCTACACCAAGACCACCTTCGCGCTCCCTGGCATGGGTTTGTCCCAGTCCAATTGGCATCCCCAGAAAAGCCCTGGGCATGGTCCAGGGCACCAGCCCGAGGGGATGGACAAGGCCACCTCCCTCTGGCGAGCTACAGCGGGGGGGGGGCATTGCTTCATCTCCAGCACAGACATCTATAGGGCAGCATCTCCTTGCCTCCCTTCCTGCTGGAGCAGCGTTTGAGCCATCATCGTGCTTTCAGCATCTTCAGGACTGAACTTTGGGCTGACTCCCTCCCTCCCCATCCCCATGGCTGGCTGGCTCCCCCAGCATGTCCTCACCCTTACCATGATGCTCTCCAGACACTGGCAGTTTGCAGCTCATGGTATTACAGCATCAGATGTTTGGAACTGTGGTTCATAGGCATTCACCCCCCCACACACACACACTATTTTGCTCACTCTCTGAACACCATGGGGCTGCAGGACCATGGGGCAGTCCTTGCTGGTCTTGGCCCATGGCTGGGATTTGGGGCTGCAGATCTTAGGTGGAGTGCACAGGGACCACAGACTGACTTTGAAAAGCATGAAAATAGGTTAAAATGCCACAAAGATGTGGCCAGCATGGAGAGGACACTTGTTTTCTGGCTGAGCTCTTCCCCAGTTGCCCTCATTCATCATGTAAGAGGAAGAAAGCCAAGTGTCCTAGATAGAGTTGCAGCATTTCAAGAGCATTGGAGGCAGCATGTTGTGCTAGAAATGGGTCAAGGGATGAGGCACGTGTGATGGAATGGATAGTGCATTCCTCCTCCTGCTCCTGAGGGCCAGGCCAGGTGTCTAGGTTAGGACCTAGATACATGGGAGGGCACTGTAGCATGAAGCAGCATGGCATGGGTTTCACCATCAATCCACCTTTCCATTCATGATGTGTGGGGTTCATGGCACCACTTGTGCCTCAGTTTCCCATGGACTGGGCACAGTGCTCTGTGGTGGCTCTTCAGTCCTCCCAGGTGAGAGCTCCAAGGAAGGGGAGTGGAGGACGAAGGTCTAGAGGAATGGATGGATGGATGGATGGATGATGGATGGATGGATGGATGGATGGTTGGATGGATGGATGGATGGATGGATGGATGGATGGATGGATGGATGGATGGATGGATGGATGGATGGATGGATGGATGGATGGATGGATGGATGGATGGATGGATGGATGGATGGATGGTTGGATGGTTGGATGGATGGATGGATGGATGGATGGATGGATGGATGGATGGATGGATGGTTGGATGGATGGATGGATGGTTGGATGGATGGATGGATGGATGGATGGATGGATGGAAACAAGGAACAACTGGCTTTAGACCTGTCAACCCCTCCTTCTCACACCAGACCTCCCCCAGCCCCACGTTCCAGCACACTCCTATGCATGTGACAAGCAGAAGCTGGGCTGGGGCCTGGTCCACAGCTGGCGTAGACCACTGCAGCTCTGGGGTAGCTGGTATAAATTCCTCCACCCAGCTGGAGGCATCACTGGACCACCACTGTGGTCGATGAGGGTTTGCTGGTTTACACCACTGATTTCCAGGTGGTGTCTGAGGGAGGAGCCCTCCACACCATGGTGGTGGGAGCATTGCCTATTTAACAAGGAGGGGGAGAGCTTCCAGGTTGGGTTTTCCTGGTTTCTTTAGCTTCTAACCCTAAGCCAGTTCCTCCATGATCAGGCAAGTGCAGGAGTCCCCAACCCAGGAGCATCCTGGCCAGGGGTGATGTGGCTTCTCCTTCCACCGAGACAAGCCTTCCCTCAGCTTTGCCTCACTGCTTCTCAAAGTATTTAAGAGGTTTGACCCCTCATCCCTGCTCCTGATGGTCCTGAGCCCTGCTCAGGTGTTAGCAGGCTGGAGGGTTTCTTAGGCGTATAACCTAAGTAACCTTGCACAGGCTCAGTGGGGTGAATTGACAGGCTGAGAACATTGGGGCTGTTCAGCCTGGAGAAGAGAAGATGCCTGGAGACCTCAGAGCAGCTTCCAGTGTCTGAAGGGGGCTACAAGGATGCTGGGGAGGGACTCTTCATCAGGGACTATAGTGATAGGACAAGGGGTGGGGGGTTCACACTGAAACAGGGGGAGTTCAGGTTGGAGATAAGGCAGAAGCTCTTCCCTGTGAGGGTGCTGAGGCGCTGGCACAGGGTGCCCAGAGAAGCTGTGGCTGCCCCATCCCTGGCAGTGTTCAAGGCCAGGTTGGACACAGGGGCTTGGAGCAAGCTGCTCCAGTGGAAAGGGTCCCTGCCCATGGCAGGGGCTGGAACTGGATGGGCTTTAAGGTCTCTTCCAACCCAAACCAGGCTGGGATTCTAATCTTCCTCTGCCTGGGACTCCCACCAACCTGAGTGATCCTACAGGGGCATAATCAGATGCAGAGGAACCGGCCCTTTGGCTCTAATTAGTTTTGCTTGATTGTTGGGGGAAGAAATCCATTTTCATAAGCAGGAAGGATTTATGCTGCTCCTTCTTGCCTTCCCCCCTCCTCCTGAGTCCCAAAGCACTTTGCTCGGGGCTAGCAGGGAGCCCTTTTATGAATGGCTTAGATTGAGCAATGCATTATTAATACCAGCCAATCAAGCAGGCAGCACATTGTATATCATTTCAGGAGAGTCACTTAATTCTCTAAAGTTATTTATTGCTCTTAAGAAAACCCAGAGACTGATTTTTTTACCTCCACCTCTGGCTTGGATTGGGGATTCCAGGGGGTGGTGATGGCTGTAGGGCTGTACCAGCCTGTGAGCATGTACAAGCTGCTGGTGGGACCTTTGGGGAGCCCTCACCCCGCATGGTTGGAACTTGTTGGGTGCTGCTCTGCTCACCCGCAGTGACAACCCCTTTTCTAGCCGGATGAATGAGCTTTACAGCAGCTCAGGGCAAAGAAACAGCTCATCTGGCTCCTGCAGCCCATTGCCTTCGCTATTGTTTTACACGGCTTTGATGAGGCTGGTGACAGCAGACAGATGGGCTCTGCTCTCCTCCGGCTGTGCCCCTTGGTGAGGCTGCTCCCGGCGCACAGCACTGTATCAGCCACCGGAGAACCCCCAGGGCGAGGGGGCATTGTCAGCGCTTGGTGACAAGCCCCTCCGTGTCACCGTGCCCCTTTGGGATTGCTCCCTCTACACTGCTCTGCGGTGCTGGATCCATCCTGGTGCTTGCCTGGCCCGGCGAACGCAGCCTCGCTGGCCAAGACCCAGCTCCATCCCTTCACAGCCGTGTTCGGGACACTGCTTGTTCCCAGAACCGGGTGGTGGGGGGGGAACGACACACATTTTCTCCCTGTTTATCCCTAATTTCCCAAGCGTGCCAGCTCCCACCGCACCCTCCCGGAGAGAAAACCTTCCCCACATCCCTTTCCTGCTCATCCTCGCCCATCTCGAGCCACCCACAGGGCCCGTCCACTGCCCCTCCTTCTGTGCCTGATCCCCGCAGACGGGACGCCGCGGTGATGGTCGCGGTACGTCCCAGGTCCCAGGAGGGAGCAGCGATGGGCGGGAGGAACGCGGGGTTGGGAGCGTGCACAAGCGGCTCCGAGCGCTCTCGCAGAAGCACGCACAGGTTTGTACAAAGAGGACACCTGGCGGTGCGTGCCCCTCATTGCGCTGTCACCGAGGCCTCAGAGCGCCAGGAGGGTTCGGGTTGAAGGCTCCAACCCCTGCCACGGGCAGGGACCCCTTCCACTGGAGCAGCTTGCTCCAAGCCCCTGTGTCCAACCTGGCCTTGAACACTGCCAGGGATGGGGCAGCCACAGCTTCTCTGGGCACCCTGTGCCAGCGCCTCAGCACCCTCACAGGGAAGAGCTTCTGCCTAAGAGCTCAGCTCAGTCTCCCCTGTTTCAGTTTGAATCCATCACCCCTTGTCCTATCACTGCAGTCCCTGATGAAGAGTCCCTCCCCAGCATCCTTGTAGCCCCCTTTAGACACTGGAAGCTGCTCTGAGGTCTCCACGCAGCTTCTCTTCTCCAGGCTGAGCAGCCTCAGTGTTCTCAGCCTGTCTTCATACGAGAGGTGCTCCAGCCACTCAGCATCCTCGTGGGCTTGATGCCTCCAGTATCCCCACTCCTGCCTGGCTGGAAAAAGGAGGGATGGAGACACCCCAATAAATGACGCTGGCTGTGCTCTGTAATGTGTTTTGTAAAGGTATGTATTTGATAAGGAGCAGAGGTCTGTGAGTCCTTCCTGATGTGAGCATCCCTGGCACACTTAGCCTGAGCCCCAACCAGCTCAGCTCACCGCACGCTCGTCCTCACACATCTTCCAGCTCACAGAAGATGAGGTTGCGCAGAGCCAGGACCTTGGCTGCCCTCCTGGTGAGCAGCTTCTCCTGCACCAGGGCCTGCAGGGTGGTGTAGCTCTGCAGGTTGCAGTGGGTGAGCAGCATCCCCGCCTCAGCACAGGCAGGGAGCTCCAGCGCTCCCCAAAGCTCCTGCAAGGCCTTGGCCGCAGTCAGCGCGCTGCCCTCACTGCGCTGCTGCTGCTTGTGCTTCCTCAGGAGGTTCCTGAACTTGTAGGAAGAGGCTCTGGGTGTTTTCTCTTTGACCAAGGGCAACATATCCACATAACCACGCACAGCATGGCAGAAGTCCACCTTCCTGCCGGCGGCATCCAGGGCTTTAAAGAGAGCGGGCAGCTTTGGTGCCCAGAAGTTATAGACAACGAGGACTGGCCTGGGGAACAGGGAGAGGTACCAGAGGAGGTTCTGTATCATCACCTCCATGGAGACACCCTGCGAGAGCAGCGCCAGCACTGACTCGGGTGTCTGAATGAGTGCCTTGAAGGTGTGCTCTCCGCTCGTGGCTGCCACCTCTATGATGCGCTGGGCTGCAGAGGGGAAAGGATGGGGCTGGAGTAAGTATTTGGGGTGCTCCTCTCTACCCCCCCCCACCAGTCCCCCTGTACCCAGGAAGGGCAGTGCTCACTTCTCTGTTCAGTTTTCAAGCTGAGGAACACTAAGGTGCTCAGCTCCGACTCGTCATCCATGGGGCTGTTGGGGCCGGTGCTGTGATGGGGTGAGGTGCCACTCCTGGACCATGTGGGGCTGGAAGAGTTCTTGATCTTCTCAGGCTTGATGGAAGCCTGCAAGAGATCGGAGAAGGGGCCCGAGTCCCATCTGCCTGCTTGGACCTGCTGGGAAGGCATGAGGAGCACCCTTGGGTGCGCCATTGGCCATGGGCATGGACCTGGTTGTGTGCAATGCTATGAAGCCCATCGGGTCTGATGTGCAGGTGCTGCCAGGGATGGTCGGGTTTGTGTTGTGTCTGGGAGCCCCAAATCAGGGTCTGGGCCAAGTGAGCAAGAGCAAAGCCCCGGATGCAACTTGTCCTAACAGGGGGTGGGACCCAAGGGACACAACACGTAGGTCCAAGGACTTGCTGTCTCTTGCTGCACGTCTCCTGTGGATGCAGCTCATACAGGGACGAGGCTGAGCAACCTCACACATGAGACAGTGCTGGACTTGAGGATGTGGTTGGTGTCCAGAGGAAAAGGGGACTGAATTGGGCCAGGGGGAGGTTTGGTGCCTCTCCAGCATCAGCAGATCGGGTCCCTAGAGCAGTGCTTCCCAAGGGGGAGTAAAAGCAGCCACAACCAGCAGCCACAGCAGGGATGCCCATCCACAGCAGGTATCTCCCTATGGGAAGTGTAGGACAGCAATACATTCAAGAAGCTCCAACCTTGGCTTTTCCTCCCTTTTCCACCAAGGACAACCCTGCAGCAATGGGGCATCCATCTCCCTCCATCTCTGCATCTTCACCTGCAGCCCAGGGGTGGTGGACACGTGGCTGGACCAGTGCCTGGAGCCACATGAGCAAAACCAAAGTGCTCCCCAGCTCAGGGCATGTGGGATTTCTTAAATACCATGTTAAAATGAGGTGTCTGAAGGGCATAGGGGGTTCCTCTGTGTGTGAAGGGATGGGAGAAGGCTGGAACTGGTGGTGGCAGTGGCCAGAATGACCTGGCTGGCCTGAAGGGGGTTAGATGAACCAAACTTGGCCACAAAACATGGTCGCAGATGCTCTTGTTACCCAAACCAGCAACAAGCAAACTGTGCTTCTATGCAAAAAGGTCTTATTGAAGAGGCAAGCAGAGAGGGGAAGATGGGCAGGTTTCGGAGGAGGAGAATCACCCGTGCGGAGATACACACTGGGAATGATGGTGGGTGATGGATCCAGGCAGAGCCGGGTGCTGGCGATGCTCCTGTGCCTGCAGCTGGTTGGACAGAGCACACGGTCCCCAGGTGACCCCACAGAGGCTCTTCCCCAGCCCCAGCATCTCCTTTGAGATGTCCGAGCCTTTAGGCATGGCCTCAGCCCTTACCCTCCACCAGCTTCCCTGGGCTGCATCCCACTGCATCATCCTCTCTCTCAGCTGCCATTTCCCCTTTTTTCAGGCTTTAAACCATCTTTTCCCAGCTCTCCAGGTTGCACTTCCCTAGTGCCCATAACCAGACCATAGGGAGATGTTTCTACCACCGGGACCTCTCTTTTACTTTCAACCTACGCCTTTGTTGCACCCTTCAATCCACATCGCGCCAAAGGACGCCCACTTCACACCGGGATTTCTCATAGCAAGCTGCTAACGTTCCCCAAACCCCCAGCTTCAGGATCCTTTTAGCACCAGCAGGGAGTGGGGACAGGGTTTTAGCCCCACAACTCTTTCACCCCCCGTTAGAGCTGAACCAGGAGAGCAAGTTAAAACAGCAAAGGCAAAAATGAATCAGGAAGCCAGCAGCAAGGTGGGATTTAATCAGGGAACAGCTTTATTGAAGAGTAAGAAGAGCTTCTGCTTTAGTTTATACAGAAAAGGGGTTGCTAACCCCTCATTAAGCCAGTGCAGGAAAACCACCCCATTCACCATCCCGAAGCGGCCACACTCGCCTCCATTCCCAGAGGGATCCCCTGCTTGACTGCTGATAGGGAATCTCAGCAGGGATCCCTGGCCTTTGGTTCATCTAACTGCCTCGGCCAGAGCCGTTTTGGTTGCAACACCCCAGTTTGCAGCATGGGTGCTAGGGAATGTCACCACAGGGAGCTTGGAGATGCCCCTTTGGGGATGCTCAGGTGGTCCCTACTTGCTCTGGAGGCTCCTAGGAGCTTCTCAGCCTGTGTAGGCACAGGACTGGTGTCCTCTGTGCGCATGGATGCTACGGTCACCTCCAAACTCGATGTTCTTGGGATGAAAACTGGGTTTTGTGTTTTAACCCGAGAACCTTCCCAATGAGGTGGCAAAGAAGCCATAGAGACCAACCCTGAAGGGCTGTATTGGGGGACTGGCTGGTGTGGAATCCCACCTCAGAGTGGATCAAGTTGGGGCTTGCTGCCTGCGAGAGAAGAGCCTGGCTGCTCCAGAGTACCAGGAGATACCAGCAAAGGTCTTGGCTCAGGAGGACTGATGCCCTGCATCTATCCATCCATCCTTGAGAGCTACCCAAGGGAAAGAGAAAGCTGCAAGCAAGTCTCTGGCTGCTGCTGAGATAGAAGGCTCAGGTCTGAGCACGGCTGGAGGAAAGGGAAAGGCACCCCGGAGATGCTGGGGGGCTGCTGCCTCTTCTGCCTGCAGCGTGGCTCAGCAAGGAGGGGGCTCTGGCGTGACACTCACCACCGTGTCTTCCTCGCTGTCCTCCGAGCTGGAGATGACGATGCTGGTGTCTTCTGCAGAAGGAACAGGAGGATGCTGAAGCTTCAAGGCTGTGATTTCGGATCACACTGGTTTTCCCCTGGCAGAACTGATCTTATCTCCTGATTTTTGCAGCAGGAGGCAAACACTTCTACCAGGACCACGAAACACAAGCTCTTGGGTGCTCTCAGATGCACCCCAAGGTGGGGGCAACCTTTCCCCACTGCTGCTTCACCCGATGGGCCCTATACCAGCCTCTCCAGAAGATGTGTTTTGTCTTGCCTCCTGTTTGCAGAGCAGAGCCCAGGACCCCTCCCTGTGGAATGTTCCCCTCTGCTATGCTCTTCCCTAGGCTTGGGATTTGGCTACCTCAGAGGCAGGACAAGGAGTTGGATGGAGCATCCGCTTCCACCCCTGAGCATTCCTCCTGTTTCTACCCGCTGGGAACCAGCTCCCACCCTCCACTTCTCTGTCTCAGGGGAAGTTGGCCAAGGCTCTGAGTGAATAGGGGTGCACAGAGGCTGGGAAAGATGGGGGACCACCATAAGGGTGGGAAGAGATGTGGTAACCATGAGGACCACATCTCTAACCCCTACCTGCATCAACAACATGGCTGCTGGTGGCAGGGATGCTGATGCAGTTCTGGTCCGGTGTGGAGGTTCTGAGCTCCCTTTCGTCTTTCCACTGGTTTGAAGTGGGACTGCTGGGGCCCGGCGTGTCGTTGCCTTCCAGCTTCATGAGCTTGGGTAAGGTCTGGCTCTCCGCTTCCAAGCAGTGCGACGTCCGCTTGGGCCATGTGGTGACAGGGTCAGCCTGGAGAGGGGAGAGCAGGGGGGATGTGAGGTGTCAGGGTGGCCAAAGGCCCCCAGAGGCTCCTGCCTGGCTGCAGTGGTTGTTACCGGGCTCCTCTGCATCTCCTCAAGGCTGATGGTGCAGGTGGACATGATGCTCTCGCTCTCAGGCTGGACGGGCTCCTCTTGCTGCACAGAGAGCATGGAGTGGCGTTAGGGTGAGCAGAGAGAGGGGCAGAGCATCCTCAGCAGGGGGGGGAAACTGAGGCACGGCTTGGCGCAAGGCTTGTGCCTGAGCTGTGGGTGTTTGGCAAGGCTACAGCCTGGGGAGGCTATGGTTTCCCCTGATGAAAATGAGGGATGAAGCAGGAAGCTTGGAGAAGTGGGATGGGGTAGGAGCACGCCTGGGTGGTGGAAAACACTGCTACACAGCAGGTTCTGCTCTGCCCAAGCAGAAACATCCCTGGAGGGTGGCTGTGCTACATAAATGGGAGCGATGCACTGGAGAGGGGAAGGTGGACCCTCAGGAAGAGCTGGCGGAGGTCAGAAGGGGGATTCACATTCAGCACACCAGGATGGAGCACGGATGTCTCACCAGGTTGTTCTCCAGGGACAACTCGGCCACAGGGTCAGCTTGGGAATTAGTGTCTGCAATGGAGAGAGCAGGGCTGCAGTCCCAAATCAGAGCCTCTGGAGCTCCCACCCGGCCCCAGTACCAGCCGAACCAGGAACAACCTGCCTGGTAGCCGCCACAAGGAAGGGGCACCTCTGGTCTCCTTCCCCTTCCCCAGCCCTTTGGTTATGGATGGCCCAAGGGTTTAAGGAGCCTCTCAGGGTCCAGACAGCGGCATCACCAGAGCCTGTTGTATTTATGGGAGACCAAAAAGGGGCTCTGGCCATACCAGCAAAGGAGCAAATGTTGGTCCTGGTGGAACTAAGCACCCGACAAGAGTGAACCTGGGGAACAGAGGTGGGGCTGGCCTTGAGCTGGCCCAGGTCCCTGCTGCCTGTGGATGCATCCCCATGGCAAGTCCTCACCTGGGTGCCCCGTGACGCGCTCCACCAGCGCCTGCAGCCGGGCTCTGCACTCGGCCAAGTCCCCAGCATCCGTCCTGCCCCTGGTCTCTGGCGGCTGCAGATGCTGCAGGTCCTGCAGCGCGCCCTTGATGAAGGGCTGCATGTCCATCACCTCCTGCTCCGTGGCGTACAGGCCCATCTTCTCCACCAGCCGCTCGCCCGCCTCCATGCGCCGCAGCACCCCCTCCACGCGCTGCAGCTCCCGCGCCAGCTCCCGCCGGCCCTGCTCCTGCCGCGCCTCCAGCATCCCCAGCAGCTCCTCTTCCTCGCGCCGCAGCACCCGCACCAGCTGCTCCACGCGCTGCCGGATCAGCTCCCGCAGCTCCCGCTGCGCCCGCTCCAGCCGCGACGCCTCCTCCCGCAGCGCCGCGCACGTGGCCTCGAAGCCGCCGCGCTGGTGCCGCAGGGCGCGGGTGACGGTGCCCAGCTCCTGCTGCCGGCGCTGGGTCTCGCTGCGGATGTCGCAGAAGGCCGTGTGCCGGCTGTCCAGCAGCGCGCACGAGCAGCACAGCGCCTTCTCGCACTGCTGGCAGTAGATGCTGCGGGGACAAGCACAGCCACGGCGCCAGCTCGCACCCTGCCCTGCGCACCCCTCGCACCCAGGGGGCACCGCGCTGGGGCCACGCCTGGGCTTAGGCTCCCCCAGGGGGGAAACAACCCCTGGGGTCACCCTGCACGGGTTCCTGCTCCTCTGCTGCGCTGGACACAGCCGCTGCGCAAGGGCTGCGGATGGGAGGCATCCATCCACACGCTGCAAGGGCGGTGAAGGAAGGGGCTCTCTGCCCCTCCGTGACCACTGATTGGGGTTACGTAGGAGAACAGAGGAGCAAAGAGCATCTGATCTCCAGAAGAGATCAAGAACAGAACGAGTGGGGAGTGGAGATCATCGCCCATCCCTTACGTATGTTCTGGTAGCCTTGGGAAGCAGTGGCCTAGGGACATCGGGAGGCAGGGATTGCATCACGGCTGGCAGCAGTGCTGGCCTCCACAGATGCTCCAGCCCGTTCTGCTCTTGCTTGCACTTGCCCTTGAGGGCATTTAAACCTCGTCCTGCGCTGCACCCCTGCTGCTCCCCAGGCCCTCTCCAAGCTGGCCTGGCACCAGCAGAAAGCCCACCCTCCTCTGCTGTCCAGCACAGCAGCTGAAGCAATAGGCCTTCTTCTTGCTTGAGTTCCGTCTACTTCATCCTCCTTATCCTAGCAAGGAGCACCCCACACGCTCCCCTCCTTTGGTCTACCCTGTCCCCACTCTCCACCATCACCACCTTGAGCCTGGCTCCATCCAAACCATCCCTCCATGCTCTGAAGCCCAGTTCTTGCAGCAGATGCTGGAAGGACACATGAGCATCTTTCAAAGCCAATTAGTGAGTGGTGGGAGGAAAGCATTTCCATTGTGCCAGGTGTGATTCCCCTCCCCAGGGGGCTGCTGAGGAGCTGAACAGGAGTAGAAACTGAGGCACGGGGTAGGGAACACCTTTGCCTTGCACCATCAGCTGCAGGTGTGGGCACGAAGCCTGGTGTTCAACCCACCTTTGCTGCCTTCCCTCCTGCTGAGACCCGCCAGCCCTGTATCACACCCTGCTCCTGCCCAGCATCTTGCCAGGATGCAGAGGTCCCTTGCCAAAGGCAGGCAATAAAACTGTGTTGGCTCTGCCCTCCTGGCAGAGTTCATAGGATCCCAGGTTAGTTTGGGTTGGAAGGGACCTTAAAGCTCATCCAGTTCCAAGCCCATGCCATGGGCAGGGACACCTTCCACTAGAGCAGCTTGCTCAGACTTGGCCCTGGAGCAGCAGCCACAAAACCCTTGGTGCAGGATGGGACCTGGTCACAAAGCATCACTCACCTGGAGATGTGCCCCTGCTCAGCATGACCAGGAGTGGAGCACAAGAGGCTGCAGGACTTCCTGTTGTCTTCCAGGAACTGGTGGGCAGACTCAGCACGAAGTTCCTCCACCCTCTTGGCCCTGTGGCTCTTCTTCTTGAAGAACCACTGGTGGTCCTCAAAGCACTTGGTGCAGAGGAACTCCTCGCACTCAGAGCACCACACCGCAGCCGTTTTCACCCGGCACCGGCTGCAGCTCGGGCCACTGCTGCTACTGAGCTCCTTGTAGACCTTGAGCCTGGCCTGCAGGTTGATGAAGAGCAGGTTGTCCATGTCGGGAATGCCGCTGGCCTGCGGGATGGCCGTGGAGCACACGGGGCACTGCCCGATGGGTTTGTTCTCGCTCAGGCAGCCAAGGCACAAGGTGTGGAGGCAGGTGAGGAGCTTGAGGTTGGGTGACTCCTGCCGGCAGCCCTCGCAAAGGATGAACTGGAAGTCATCTTCCTCCACAGGAGGGTGGGATGGGGGCAAGCACGGGGGTGTACCCAGCTGGGCTCCTGTCTCCATGGGGGCAGCAGCACCATCTCCATCTAGGTGGGATGTGGGGGAAAGATGCCATTGGACCAGAGAGGATGGAGTGGGGCAGGAGGCTCAGTCCCACCCACAGGGGCCGTCGGGCCACTCCTGCACAGCCCACTTTACCCCCTGGCTGCAGGGAATCACAGCATCACAGAACCATCAGGGTCCCAAGGGAGCTCTGGAGACCACCCAGTCAAACCTCTTGGACCCCTTGGTGGCCAAGGCAGGGCCACCCATAGCAGGTCACATAGGAACATATCCAGGCGGGTTTGGGATGGCTCCAGGGAGGGAGACTCCAACCCCACCCTGTGCAGCCTGTGCCAGGGCTCTGCCACCCTCAGTGTAAAGTGATTCCTTTGAGGAAGTGTCTGAGGTGAGGGAGTGTCTCCCCTTCATCCCGAGGGCATGTGGATGGCAGCACACCCCAAGGCAAAGGATGCTCTGCTGGGGAGATTCTCTGCTGGCTGCACAGGGCTGTGCTCCCTCCTGCCCTCAGTGTGGGACCCTGAGGGGTGTCCTCCCTGCTCCCCAGCCTCCTCCCCTTTGGGCCATTACAGACCTCACAGTTGAGGGGGAAGGCTGCAAAGCGACTTTCCTTTCGCTTTTGCTGTCACCGCCCCTTCCTGCCGTGTGAGCGGGAGCGCAGGGAAGGGATGGGAAGGGAAGGGGGGATCTCTGGCCGCGGTGCCCCCCGATTCCTGCAAAACCCCCTAGGCAGCACCGGGATGCTGGCACCCAAGGGTGTCCTCCTCGTCACCCCCACCCCGGGCCTCTGCCAGCGCCACAGCTCAGGCAGGAGCCCCCCGAATAAAGCAGGGACCCCCCGTTACCACCCCCCATGCAACAGCTTTGCACCTTAAAAAATAAAGCCCCCCTCCAGAAGGCAGCGTCTGGGGGGGTCTGGGCCAGGCGTTGCCCCCCTCCCCATCCCACCTCCCCTTCCAGGAAAGCGGGGACCCCCCCCCCCTTTACCTGCCGGGAGCTCGGGGCCGGGCGGCCGGGGGGCAGCGGGGCTCTCGGCCATGGGAGCGCCGGGGCAGGGCTGCGAGCGCCCAGGAGTTTCGTGTTCCCGGTCGAGCTGAAAGAGGAGGAGGAGCTGGAGGGAACAAGGCGGGGAAGGCAAAGGGGGGGGGGCAGGCGGGACGGAATGGGGTGCTGGGAGCGGGGGAAGAGCGAGCCGGGATTCCCCGCTCCCACCAGGGCAGCGCACACTGACCTGCCTGCTCCTGCCTTCCCTCTGCCTGGGGCGCTAGCACCGGGGGATGCTGGTACCGGGGGGATGCTGGTACCGGGGGGATACTGGTACCGGTGGATGCTGGTACCGGGGGGATGCTGACCCCAGGGGGATGCTGACCCCAGGGGGATGCTGGCACCAAGGAGAGGGGGTTCAGATGTTCAGATGGCAAAGCTCTGTTTCATCGACCAGCTAGCCCCCCCCCCCCCAGGCTGTCCTGGGGTGCATATCTGGGTGCTAGCTTGGTTCCACTGTGTGTGCAGCTGGGTCTCAGGACGCTGCTTCAGCCAAGGGGGGCTTTAAACTGGCCCTGTTGTCACCCCCCTTCCCTTCACAGCGCTGCTCTTTGGCCTTCACTGCCCTTTGAAAGCCGGCAAGATGGAGTAGGGGGGGCTTCGCTACGGTGAGAAGGCCATGCCAGAGAGGGAATTGCTGGGAAAAATACCCCCATTGCTTCCCTGTGGGGCTCGGTACCCTCCGGAGCCCCTCCCCGGGTGAACATGCAATGGAGCACCCTGTCTTCCCCATGGAAGCTCCCGGGCAGGGGCTCTGTGGGAAAACTCACCGAGCCGTGAGCCATGAGCCGTTCCGTCCCTGTGCCGTCAGCAGCCACATGACAAGCAGACCAGGAAGCGACAGCAGCAAGCTCCTTCCCTACACAGCGTCCTCGCCACGGCCTCCGGCCCCACGGACACCCCTGGGGTATCTCCCAGCTCCAAGGGGGTGAGAAGCACAAGGGTGGATTCTGTCTCCCGGCTCAGCTCCTGTGCGCCGGGAAGATGGGAAGCTCCAGGCTGGGTGAGAGCCCGGCAAGGAAAGCTCCTGAAGGATGTGGTATCTTCTAGCCAGCATCCTCCGTGATAGCAGCTCTCCGGAGCACGTCAGGTCTCCGGGCAGCCAGGCAGGGACGCTGGGTCGGGCTGGGGACAGGCTGAAGCCATGCTGGCCGTAGTGCCGGGAGCACAGAGCCAGGCTTAGGATGCTCTGAGCACCAGCCCAGTGCAAAGCACCTGCACCATGTTCAGCCGGTCGGGATACCAGGCCCTTCCCTTGGGAGACTTTGACCGCTTCCAGCAGTCCAGCATTGGGCTCTATAGTGCCCAGAAGGGCTTCTTCTCCTTTGGATCCAAGCAGGACTCTCTGGGGCCAGCTGGGAATACCACAGGTGAGTGCCAACCTTAGGAGGGGTGTTGCCGCTTCTCTCCCTATTGCTGTAGGGTGTCCCACTGGCTGGGTGGCCCCTGCGCTTCCCTGGGGTGCATGGGGGAGAGGCTTGGACTGGGGGTTCACAGGCAGGGCAGGGGGGTTGGAGCAGGTACATCTCTCTTTCACCCCACTGCAGAGTCCTCCCAGGGTTGGCTGTCCTGGATCTGCCATGGGCTTATCACCTCCTTGGTCTTCTTGCTGATGGTTGTCACCTTCCCCATCTCAGGCTGGTTTGCCTTGAAGGTAAGGGAGGAAGGCAGGGCAGGAGTGGGATGACAACCCATCCTCCATAGGGAGGAGTGCTCCCAGCTGCCCCTGGTCCCTTTGCTTCAGCCCTGCTCCAAGCTTTCCCATTGCAGATCGTGCCCACCTACGAGCGAATGATCATCTTCCGCCTGGGCCGCATCCGGGCGCCGCAGGGACCTGGCTTGGTCCTGCTGCTCCCCTTCATCGACCACTGGCAGCGAGTGGATCTAAGGACAAGGGCCTTCAACGTGCCCCCCTGCAAGGTAAGCAGCCGCAGGCTTCAGGGCAGGATGGAGAGGCACCTTAAAATACCCAGAGCACATGGATTTTGGGGTGGTCTGACCCTTGGTGCTGTGCATGGACCCAGCTTTCAGTTCCTCCTCGGGCTGTAGATGATGCTGTGAAGGCAGAGTCCTCACCTCTCTGCAGCTGAAAAGCTCCTCTTGACTTTGCATACCTTGTTCAATGGGTGTTCCTGCCTGCAGGCATCTCAAAAACATCCATCCCTATCCTTTCCAGATGTCTTTCAGTCACAGTCCCATGCTGGAAACTGTCCTCACCATTCAGGCTAGCCCAAACTTCATCATTTGAGTTGGTTTCATTTCTAATGACCTTCTCAAAGAGACCTAGAGCTGCCTGCCAGCTGGGGAACAAGTGAATGCCTTTGCTCCCAGGCTCTGTGCACAAGGGTTGGGCAATGGGGCAGAGAGGAGAAGAGATCCTGACCCCTCTGCTCCAGCTGACCTCCAAGGATGGGGCCATCATCTCCATGGGTGCCGATGTCCAGTTCCGCGTGTGGGACCCCGTGTTGTCTGTCATGATGGTGAAGGACCTCATCGCGGCCACCCGGATGACGGCGCAGAACGCCATGACCAAGACCTTGATGAAGAAGAGTCTCCGTGAGATCCAGGTGGAGAAGCTGAGGATCGGGGAGCAGCTCCTGGTGAGGACTGCCCCAAAGCCTTGGGCTCTTGGTGTGAAAGCAACAGCAAGGGAAAGATGGAGCTGCTCCAAGTCCATCTGGCCATGGACCTGGCCAAGGAAGGGAGCTGGGAGAACGTGCTGATTAGTGGGAAGCAGGTATCTTCAGCCTGTGGAGCTCTGTGCCTTGTCTCTAAGGGCTTTTTGGCCACAGAGGAAAGCCCACATGGTGTTGGCAGGCTTAAATCTGACCCCCATATCTCCACCAGGAAAATGCCTGGAGGGCTGCAAACTGGGAGGGCAGCAGGACAGTGTTGGCAGAGGGGTGATGAGTCATGTCTGCAGCCAACCTGGGCCAGGCCAAGATCTTGTGTGCTGAATGTCTACAAGGGATTAGATATATTATTATATAGGGAGCACCATACCAGGATGTGCTACCCAAAGGGAAGCAAGGAAAGAGCCAGCCTGGGAGGGAGCTGTGGAAAGGGGAACCAGACAGAGCTGTCCTCCTTGTCCTGACCTCCTCCATGCCAGGGCAGCAGGGCTGAACGTAAGCATGGACAGCTTGGAGGAGCTGGACTATTGAGCCTGGTCCAACACCTCACATCTAAAGCTGGTGGGTAGCAGAAGTGTAAGCTATTGGATGCCCATGGTTGGTGTGCTATGGTTGGATGCTCTCCATGGCCTTACCCAGCTCTGCTCTGTGGCCTCTTCCCAACACCTCTCCCTTTCTCCCCGGCTCTGCAGCTGGAGATCAATGACATGACCAAGTCCTGGGGTCTGGAGGTGGACCGTGTGGAGCTGAGCATGGAGACTGTGCTGCAGCCACCCCGGGATTGCCCTCTGGCTGCTGTGCCACCCGTGCCCGGGCTGGATGGCACCATTCAGCAGCTGGCTGCCCACTTCTTCAGCAGCACCCTGGCTGGGGCAGGCAGCGGGACCGGTGCTCCAGAGGCAGGTAATGGATCTGTGTCTCTGCTTGGGACGTCCCTCCTGCCCCGTGACCCCGTGTCCTTTGGGTGTTTGACACAGAAGTCAAAGTCTAGGAGATACCATGCTCCTATGAGCACAAACAGGGGGGAGGAGAGAGGAGAGCTTCGGGCACAGCTCCAAACCTTTCCTACAAGGCACTGGGGAGGGCAGGAGCAGATCTGCAGGAGCCTGGGCTCAAAACCAGCTCAGTTCTCAGTGTTCCCAGCAGGCAACCCCAAGCCTCAGCTTGCCAAGAGTCACACTGAGGGCAGTGGGGGTTTGTTGGGGTTTTTTCCAGAAGCCCTGCACCAGTTTGTGTCCTGCTGTTTCTTTCAAGGATAATTTTCCACCCCCTGGTAGCACAGGAAGAGTAACCCATGGCAGACAGTAGGAAATGGCAAAACAAGGGGTTTTCTTCTTGCTTAGCTGAAAAACACAGAATCATAGAATAGTTAGGGTTGGAAAGGACCTTAAGATCATCCAGTTCCAACCCCCCTGCCATGGGCAGGGACACCTCGCTCTAAACCATATCACCCAAGGCCTCGTCCAACCTGGCCTTGAACACTGCCAGGGACGGAGCATTCACAACCTCCCTGGGCAACCCATTCCAGTGCCTCACCACCCTCACAGGAAAGAATTCCCTCCTTATATCCAATCTAAACTTCCCCTGTTTAAGTTTTAACCCATTACCCCTTGTCCTATCACTGCAGTCCCTAATGAAGAGTCCATCCCCAGCATCCCTATAGGCCCCCTTCAGATACTGGAAGGCTGCTATGAGGTCTCCACGCAGCCTTCTCTTCTCCAGGCTGAACAGCCCCAACTTTCTCAGCCTGTCTTCATATGGGAGGTGCTCCAGTCCCTGATCATCCTCATGGCCTCCTCTGGACTTGTTCCAACAGATCCATGTCCTTTTTATGTTGAGGACACCAGAACTGCACACAATACTCCAAGTGAGGTCTCACAAGAGCAGAATAAAGGGGCAGGATCACCTTCTTCGACCTGCTGGTCACGCTCCTTTTGATGCACTGGTTAAGTGGGTTCCTTTACTCTGGAGACCTCCTGTGGTGGGTCCATGCAAAGCTCACCGCCTCACAGCGTACCCTCTGCTGTCCCCAACAGACAGTGTGGAGACCGTGAATGAGAAGGAGCCTCCCGCCACTCCCCTCCTTGCCAGCAGTGCCCAGAGGAAGCCCAGCACGGATGAGCTGCTCGCAGCAGTGGAACCCATCCTCTCTGAGGCCCTGGTCAGCCAGGTGGGAGCATCCTACCAGGTCAACATCGCCCTGCCCAGCGGCGCCTGGAGCACCTACTTCATAGACCTCTCCTCAGGTCACTACTCTGGGGTTGCTGTGTTGGAAGCGGGGGGATGTGTTGAGCCTGTGCCCTGTCTTCACACTGTGAACTCCCAAGCTTGGTGATCAGAGGTCCCAAACCAAGCCCATTTGGTGGCTCCAGGAGAGGCAGCCCGGGGTCCATCAGCTGCGCACTGCAGCTTGGCCACCAGGGCCGTGAGTCCTTGCTCCCAAAGTATAATTTGGCTTGGGTTAAAGCCTGGATTTTTCCTTCAGAAAGAGAGTATTGGGAGAAGGTTGGCAGCTGGCTTTCCTGGTGGCTGGCAAAGTGGGGTGGGTGGCTGAGGCCTCAGGGTTTGTTAGCTGTTGATGCCACTGGCCTAAGGGGGTAGCAGTGGAGGGACATGAGAGGACAGCACCTTGGGATACTGCCATGCTGGAAGATGCCCTAAGCCATCCCCCCCTGATTGCTGATGGTTTTCCTGGTGGCCATGGCAAAAGTAGGATGAGGCTTGGGGGTAGACCACTGTAACAGGACATTGGTGGAGCAGCACAAGAGACATTTATCTTCATAAGGAGGAAGCACTCCTGTCTCCAAAATCATAGAATCACAGACCGGTTTGGGTTGGAATGGGCTTTAAAGATTGTCCAGTTCCAAACCCTCAAGTGGAAGACACCTTCCACTAGACCAGAGTGCTCCAAGCCCCATCCAACCTGGCCTTGAACGCTGCCAAGCCCTTGTTTGTCATCTGCCTCAAGTCAATCCTTATTGGAACAGTTGGGGTGAATGCCAGTGGGCAAGGCTGGATCCTGAAGCCCTCTGTTCCTCCTTCTCCCACCCGTTGTGTCCTACAGGCAGCGGCCGGGCTGGCCATGGCGTGCCCGAGGGCATCCCTGATGTCATTCTGGAGGTGGCAGAGAAGGACCTGCAGGACCTCTTCTCAGGTGACCTGCGCCCCTTGAGTGCCTACATGAGCGGGAGGCTGCAGGTGAAGGGCGACCTGCACCTCGCCCTGAAGCTGGAGGAGCTCATCAAGGCGATGAAGCAGCATAGATAGAGCAGAGCATGCGTGTGGGTGCGTGTCTGTGTGCATGCGTCTTTGTAGGTGTGCGAAGGCAGGGGACGTGCAGGGGTGCTGCACAACGGGGGCCTTGTCCTGCTGGAGCTTCTCCCTGTGGAGGCTGCAGGAGTCGGTGAAGACCTGAGCAGGGAAACTGAGGCTGAACGCCATTGCCAGTCCTTGTCCTTGCCTTTACCCACCCTGCCCATCCTTTGCTTACAATGGGATGAGAATCCCATGAGAAGATGGGATGCGGTCGGCACCCCAGCATGTGCCAGTTTGCTTCCATGTCCCTTGGCCAATATGCCACTAGGGCACAGCCTGATGTCCTGGTGCTCCCGTGATGGGCTGCGTGGCCAGACTGGAAGAGGCATGAACTGAGCAGGTTGGATTGAGAAGAGCTCGGGGACACTGTGACCACGCACAGTAGCCAGAGGATGGGCAGCCAAAGCAGGGCACTAGGGCTGGCTGGACCAGGCTAACGGGATACTGGCATCCATGGGGAAGGAGCAGAGGTGGTGATTCTGGGAATGACCTGCCTTGGAGGTACCCAAACCTTCCTGACACAGCAGTTTGGAACAAGCAATTGCTCTAATTTGTGCTTCAAAGTGCTTTTGCATGTGTGCTGTGAGGCCTGTCCGTGGGGCACGTGGACTGTACATAGGCATATATGGATACTTATTTATTTTGTAAGCTTCCTTTCTATCAGCTCTCGATGGACAATAAACCTGGTCTGCAGCCTTGTGCTTGGGCAGCAATGGCTGATGTCTTCCGCACCCCTTGGTGCCTCAGTTTCCCCAAAGGACCACAGGTAAAGAGGTGCTGGCATCAAGAAGGCTGCGTGGTGTGACTCCATCTCACCATAGGATCATGATGAAGCCATGAAGTCCTGCCACGGTGAGGAACATGTGTCAGGATGCTCCCCTGCTAGGGATGCTCAGCCCCAGCAGCCCCCAGCCCCCAGGGGTTAACATGTCTTGGCAGCTTTACCAGGCCCCAGGGCGCTTTGCTGGACCAGTGGGACAAGCCTGGCAGGTTTGTGTCCTGTACAGGCCAGGGACAAGGGGCAAGGAGGGTGGAAATGTTTCCAGAATTGAAACGTTGCATGGGTGCAATGAGGTCAAACCACCTCCTGAACATCTCCTTCAAAGCCTGGGGGTGGGTGGCCCCAGCCTAAGGCAAGCTTTGGAGACCCTCAATGCAGGGGAGGTGACGGTAGTGCCCTGCTATGCCCTGCCCCTTTGGGGATGCCACGCTAGGTGAGTCCCAAGGGTTCCTGGTGGTCCCCTCTCCGTGGTGGTCCCCGTGGTGCAGGTGTTTAGAGGGGTATCGATGCCTTGCATGAAGGGGCAAAGAAGATCCAGGACACAGCCCCGAGGACAAAGAGGGATGTGGAAATCCTCTCCAAGGTGGGGGGCAGTCCCTGACCCCCTCTCAACCTTGGGGTGCAGGGGGATGGGCTGGTTTCGCACTTTCGCACGGCTCCCTCTCCCCGCCGGGGTGAGTGCGGCAGGGCACTAGGACCCTGCAGGGCGAGGCCGTTCCTTGGCAAAACGCCTCCTTTCGGGGGGTCTCGGGGTGCCCCCCGGCTTCCTTCCCTATGGGAACGGACACCCCCGCTGGGAAGCTCCCTCCGGTTGTGACGGAGGGGGGGGAGCGGGCTCTGCGCAGTCCCGCCCCGACACGGAGGAGGAGTTACGGGAAGCGCGGAAGGAACCGAAAGCGCCGGGAGGACGGGGTGGGGGGGCGGTGGGGGGGTTTCGGGCTGGTCCGGCACTGCAGACCCCGCCATGCCCGGCTCCGGCACCCGGGTGAGCGCCGCCTGCCCCCGGGGTGGAGCGGGAGGTGGGCTCCAGGCTGCGGAGGGTCCGGGGCAGGGAGAGGCGGGTCCAGGCCAGCGGGAAGCAGTCGGGGAGGTGCGGGTAAGGGCGCTGGGGTGCTACGGCCCTTTACTGGTGGGTGTTAGGGTCCGCCCCCCCCGCTGCCAAAGCATAGGGGTGGGATGGAGGGAGGGAGGGAAGAGTGGGGACGGGGGGGCAGGGAGGATGGTCCCACCGTGGCAGGGTGACATCCAGAGGTCTTTGGATCGTGGAATCGTGGAATGGTTTGGGTTGAAGGGAGCTTAAAGCTCACCCAGTCCCAACCCCTGCCACAGGCAGGGACCCCTTCCACTGGAGCAGCTTGCTCCAAGCCCCTGTGTCCAACCTGGCCTTGAGCACTGCCAGGGATGGGGCAGCCACAGCTTCTCTGGGCACCCTGTGCCAGCGCCTCAGCACCCTCACAGGGAAGAGCTTCTGCCTAAGAGCTCAGCTCAGTCTCCCCTCGGGCAGGTTCAAGCCATTCCCCTTGGCCTGTCCCTACAGGCCCTGCTGAAGTCTCTCTCCAGAACCCTTGTACATGTGTCCTCTGTGCCTCATCCTCTGCACTGCAGCCCCCCCAGCCCCATAGCCAGAAAACTGTCCTGTTGCTTCTTTGCTGCAGGGGAGGGGGGGAAGTGCTCAAGGCCATTCCATCCAACCTTACCACGGTGCATGGGCCACATCTGGCCTGTTCATAGGGCCTGGGCATCACTGGTGGCTCAGTGGTTGCTCTAAATAGGGTTTGTGGGTTACCTTCCTCCCCCAAGGTTTAGTCTCATAAGCTGTTAAATCTAACCCCTGCACTCACTCCTCTTCCTCCCTCCCTTCCCAAGCTCCTAGAAGATGAATTCCAGTTCATCCTTTGCGAGGGCTGTGGGCAGGAATCGCCCAACCTCAAGCTCCTCACCTGCCTCCACACCTTGTGCCTTGGCTGCCTGAGCAAGAACAAACCCATCGAGCAGTGCCCCGTGTGCCAGATGCCCACCCCGCAGGCCAGCGCCATTCCCGACATGGACAACCTGCTCTTCATCAACCTGCAGGCCAGGCTCAAGGTCTACAAGAAGATCATTGGTGGAGATGAGTTGTTCTGTGACAACTGCAAGAAACCCAGTGAGTTCTGGTGCTCTGAGTGCGAGGAGTTCCTCTGCACCAAGTGCTCTGAGGCCCATCACCGCTATATGGCAAGCCACCAAGCCAAGAGGGTGATGGACATCAGGGCAGGGTCTGCTAAGGACTTCCTTGAGGGCACCCGGAGGACCAGTAACTTCTGCTGCTCCAACCCGGCCCATAAGAACCAGACTGTAAGGTAGGTCAAAGAGGTCTGTCCCCAGCTGGGTTGATTCTCTTGGGGCTAGTCCCTGATGGGACTGAGCAGGGTGTCCCTGTCCCTCTGCTGCCCTGGTTTCACCATGTTGTGGAGGAGATGGGGGTAATAGTGACCGGTGGGTTCTAGGGCATGGATGGCTTGGATGGAGCCAGGCTCAAGGTGGTGATGGAGAGTGGGGACAGGGTAGACCAAAGGAGGGGAGTGTGTGGGGTGCTCCTTGCTAGGATAAGGAAGATGAGGTTGGTGGAACTCAAGCAAGAAGAAGGCCTATTGCTTCAGCTGCTGTGCTGGACAGCAGAGGAGGGTGGGCTTTCTGCTGGTGCCAGGCCAGCTTGGAGAGGGCCTGGGGAGCAGCAGGGGTGCAGCGCAGGACGAGATTTAAATGCCCTCAAGGGCAAGTGCAAGCAAGAGCAGAACGGGCTGGAGCATCTGTGGAGGCCAGCACTGCTGCCAGCCGTGATGCAATCCCTGCCTCCCTGTGTCCCTAGGCCACTGCTTCCCAAGGCTACCAGAACATACGTAAGGGATGGGCGATGATCTCCACTCCCCACTCGTTCTATTCTTGATCTCTTCTGGAGATCAGATGCTCTTTGCTCCTCTGTTCTCCTACGTAACCCCAATCAGTGGTCACGGAGGGGCAGAGAGCCCCTTCCTTCACCGCCCTTGCAGCGTGTGGATGGATGCCTCCCATCCGCAGCCCTTGCGCAGCGGCTGTGTCCAGCGCAGCAGAGGAGCAGGCACCTGTGCAGGGTGACCCCAGGTGTTGTTTCCCCCTGGGGGGAGCCTAAGCCCAGGCGTGGCCCCAGCACGGTGCCCCCTGGGTGCGAGGGGTGCGCAGGGCAGGGTGCGAGCTGGCGCCGTGGCTGTGCTTGTCCCCGCAGCATCTACTGCCAGCAGTGCGAGAAGGCGCTGTGCTGCTCGTGCGCGCTGCTGGACAGCCGGCACACGGCCTTCTGCGACATCCGCAGCGAGACCCAGCGCCGGCAGCAGGAGCTGGGCACCGTCACCCGCGCCCTGCGGCACCAGCGCGGCGGCTTCGAGGCCACGTGCGCGGCGCTGCGGGAGGAGGCGTCGCGGCTGGAGCGGGCGCAGCGGGAGCTGCGGGAGCTGATCCGGCAGCGCGTGGAGCAGCTGGTGCGGGTGCTGCGGCGCGAGGAAGAGGAGCTGCTGGGGATGCTGGAGGCGCGGCAGGAGCAGGGCCGGCGGGAGCTGGCGCGGGAGCTGCAGCGCGTGGAGGGGGTGCTGCGGCGCATGGAGGCGGGCGAGCGGCTGGTGGAGAAGATGGGCCTGTACGCCACGGAGCAGGAGGTGATGGACATGCAGCCCTTCATCAAGGGCGCGCTGCAGGACCTGCAGCGGGCTGCGGTCAGGAGCCAAGCGCTGCCCGTGGGCTTCGCTGAGTGCAGAGCCCGGCTGCAGGCGCTGGTGGAGCGCGTCGAGGGGTACGCAGGTGAGGAGGCACTTGGCCAGGTGGGGTGGTAAGGGGGGACCGAAAGAGCTGAAGGTTATAATCCCTGGATAGACCTTATTCTCCATGGGTCTCCTTCCACGTGGAGCCTTGATGGCCCTTTGCCTCCAGCCTTTGCTCACGTGATGGGCACAATCCAACCTCTCCCAAGGGTGGGATGCAGTTGTTGCATCCATCAGTTCCAAATCAACCTTTGTCCCTGTCATGAGGAATACGACAGTCCCTCAAACAGAGGTTGATGGGGAGGGAGCATGAATTGCTTGGTATGGAGCCATGCCATGGGTTGAGGGATAAGGGAGCTGCATGGCACCTGGATGGAGATGGGGCACTTGGAGCTGGGGCTTACAGAGGCTGCTGCAGCAAGGAGGAAGCGGGTGGAAGGGTTGGATCAACTCTGCATCCTCTCTGAGATAGGTTTGTACTGGTGACACCTGCAGGTCCCTCAGGGACCATAACCACCCTGCTGGCCACTGACTGCTTCTGCTCTTCATGTCTCCAGCCCCTTTGGCTTTGCTCAACATTTGTCCATAACCACATCTGGGGCAATTCCCCTTTGGGCTGTTGGTTACCACCTCGGGACGGTGCATCCAGCCAGGAGGTTAAATGTTCCCTGGGAGCACTCCCTAACAGGGATGGCAAGAGGTCCATGAGCACTGCTGGGTTTGCCCAGGTCTTCCCCCCAGCTGTTTGGCAGCAGTGGTGTGGTGGAGATGCTGAAGGTTTGGGAATGGTGAAGGCCTTGGTGTCTGTGCAGGGATGGTGTCCTGGAAGATCCGGGTTGGGTCAGGAGGTGGTAGAATCCTTCCAGAAAACAGGCAGTGGGAAGCAGTGGGTGAAGAGACTTTGTGGGGGTCTTCTGCTCCCCCCTGCTGTCTTCAGACCTGGGCTATGACCGGTGTCCTTGGCCTGCTGTGGGCATCCACCACTGAGCTCCCTAGGGCAAACGCATGAGCTCTGGACCATCTGTAGCTCGTGACATAGCTATGGATGGCCCGTCAGCCCAGGGGTGATGTCCTGGTGGGCATTGTCTCTTCACCTCCCCTCTCCACCCCACCAAGCAGGCTGGGAGGACCCTACAAGCCCTCATTCTCCTTCTTCCTCCCTTCAGCCCCCGTTCCCAAAACAGGTACCTCAGCTCCCCACCACGACTCAGTGTCTGAAGAAGGGGCTACCCTCATCCTCCACCTGGAGCCTCCCAGGGGGCATTACCAACCGCATGGAGGTCTCCCCATGGGGCTGCCTGCCCCCCAGCAGCCCTGTGCCCCCGTATCGGACCCCTTCAGCAGCAGAGGACACGTGTGTCCAAGGCAGGGAGGGGATGTGTCCCCCACCCAACCCACATCTCCAGGCCTGCCGATGCAGAGGGATGAAGAAACAGAGACGGATGCCAGGTCAGCCCACGGGGACACTGTGCCTCTTCCCAGGAGCATCCAGGACTCTCTGGCCTTGCTGCAGGAAGATTTCGGTGGCTGGGCCAGGTCCAACAGGCAGCAGGCAGAAAAGCTCCTGAAGATGGGCAATCGCCTCCTGCAAGCTCAGCACAGGGCAAACAGGCACTTGGTGTCCATGACCCAGGAGATCCGGGCCATGTCCCACTCCCTGGCCAGCATCGCCTCGGCTGTGGGCCCCTTGCTGCAGGCCACGGGCAACCCCCAGGACCCCCATCCTGCAGACATGGAGTGGCCATCGCTGCCCTCTGGCATGCTGGAATTGCTGCTTCCCAGCACCCTGCAGAGGCAGGAGCCACTGCTCCCGGTGGCTGCCACGGCCCCTTCCCATGTGAGCTCCCCTCCTGCCTCCCCCCCTGCGAGCCCAGCACGCTCGGAGCCCCCCAGCCCAGCCTCCGAGGAGGAGCATCCCAAACCAAGGCATCCCAGCAGCAGCAAGCGTGGTGGGAAGCCCAGCACCAGGCTTCGGAAGCGAAGGAAGAAGTGAGGGGCTACAGACCAGGATGCTTGCCATGGGCTGCAGCTGCGCGTGATACCCTTATGGAGACCAGGGTCTCCATTTCACCTTGCTGTGCCAATAAATCCTCATGGAATGAATGGTGCATTGATCTTTTGCTGGCTTTGGAAAGGCAGCATCTCCACCCCAGATGAGCCCTTGTTACTGCACGGCAATAACATGCTTGGGAACAGCATGGTCCTACTCTTTTCTCTTGCTTTCTTTGCCAGCACGTGTGACCTCCTGGCTTGTGGGTCTGGGATGGGTGGGAAGGCAGCAGACCCAACTGGGAGAACCAGAGGAAAGGCTTTGGGATGAGGATGGGTGAATGAGCAGGCAGGTGGCTGGGAAGCCCAGCTTGCAAGCTCACTGCTGGATTTCGGCCTCAGTAGCATCTCCAAGAGGTGACCCCTCAAGGAATCACAGAATCAATGAGGTTGGAAAAGCCCTTTAAGCTCACCCAGTCCAACCATTCCCAGCACTGCCAAGGCCACCACTAACCCATGGCACTGAGGCCTCGTCTCCACGCTGTGTGAACACTTGCAGGGACGGTGCCTGCAGCCCTGCCCTGGGCAGCCTGTTCCAATGCCTGAGCACCTCTGGGGCAGGAATTGTTCCTCAGCTCCATCTAAACCTGCCCTGGTGCAGCTTGAGGCCGGTTCCTCTTGTCCCATCCCTTGTTCCTTGGGAGCAGAGCCCAGCCCTCTCCTGGCCCTGGGGCTGGCAGGGGAGATGCTTCTGCTGGCTGTGGGCCCTGAGGGCTTGGTTGCTCCTCATCCTCCTCCCTGGCTGCCCAGGAGCTGCCCAGGGCAGGGTTGGTGATGCCTATCAGGGGACTGTGAGCCCTGGTACTCACTGCAGGGGGGAATTACAGCCCCACATCTGAAAAGTGACACATCTGCCTTGGCAGGTAGAGAGCTTCTCTGCTTGGACAGCTTTGAGGAGGGCACGAAGAGGAGTGGATGAGTGCAGCCAAAGAGCTGTCAGCAGCATCCAACCCCTCTGGCCTGGGATACAAACCTCCTAAGCGGGCACACAGGGTTATCATCTTCCTACCTCTTTCCTCCTTGCTTTCCAAGCTTAAAGACAGCCCAGGAGTTGCTTGATGCACCTCATTGCTCTTTGGCTCCTGCCTCCCGATGGAGAAGGAATAAACCACTTCCCGTGCGTTTGTTGTGCATTGCAAGTGATTTCCTTTTGCTCCCCATTCCCACAGCACCCACCTGCTCAAAAAGGCAGATGTGCAGGGTGATGGGTGATGTGGTGATGGTTGCTTTGCAGCATGATGTGGCTTCTTGAGCCCACAATGCACGATGAGCCCAGGATGAGCCATGTACATGGGACATGAGCTGTCCTGCTGGTACCTGTCCAGTTTGGATCGTGCCAAACGAGCCTGATTCATCCATTCATGGGCATCTCACCTGCATCTCCAAGCAAAGCAATGAGCACACCACTGTTCACCCAGCGGCAGGGGCTGTCCCTAAAACCCTAAACAAGGGCTCCATCCAAAGCCATGCTCCTTGCTGTCACTTCCACACTCAAACTGCTTCTCTTCCCGATGTGCAGCCCCTCAGCAGGCATCCAGAAGCTCATGGGGGGTTCAGCTGCATGGACCTGCCCTGGTCCCCTCCCTCAGGGCACCACAGAGGGGACAGCCTGCTGCTGAACCACCCCAGGAAGGGATGGACTGTGCCGAGCACTGTGCCCCAGGTCTCATAATCCTCATAATCACTCGACACCATGATTATTTCTAATTATCATTAGTAATAATTATAATTACATAATAGTATTCTAATTTTTCATAACTATAATTAATCCTAGTTATTATTATTTCTAATACCTAATAGCTCTAACATTACCCCTGATACTGATTATTCCAGTCATTATTTTACTAGTGCCCATTGCCACACCAGTCCTGCCCAGGAAGCTGATGGCTCCAGGGGACAAATAGGTCAGGAAGCAGTTGACCAGCCTCGTGTGCATGAGCGTGTTCCTCCCTGTTGCTAAAATCCCGGGAAGCACAAGGAAGCACAAGGACACATGGGTGGCTGCGCTGGTGTGGACACCACCCTGTGGAGTTTGGTCCTGCAGGAGCAAGGATGTGGTTTGGGACAACTGATGGGGGTCTCCTCCTGATTCCCCCTTTTCCTTTTATTCTTCCATATGACTAGAACTCAAATTGCCACTTTTTCCTCAAAAAACCACCAACTTTTTGCTTGGTAGAGAAATGCCATCCATGATTCCCTCACATCCTGGAGTGCCCCAGCTGATATGAGCAGCTCCATGAGGATCATCACTACCCTGAAGGAGCTGGGGACAGGGACCAGTTTGGGCAGCTGAAGAGTGGGTTTGCCTTGGGAACGCATCACCCCCCATGATCTGGAGGTGGGAAATGTAATCTGGAGGTGGGATATGCAATCTGGAGGTGGGATATGCAATCTGGAGGTGGGATATGTAATCTGGAGGTGAGATGTGCAGTCTGGAGGTGGGATATGTAATCTGGAAGGTGGATGTGCAGTCTGGAGGTGGGATGTGCAGTCTGGAGGTGGGATGTGCAGTCTGGAGGTGGGTCACATCTCTGTGGGTCTTACAGGGCTGGTTGTTACCAAAAAACCAAGTGGAAACACACAGCTGGCTGCACAGTAAACTCAGCATCCCTCCCATGGGTGAGGAACCCAACCCAGCACCTCATTAGCTCATTAGAGCCCACCAATGGTTCCTTAAAGACCTGGGTGCTCCCAGCTGTTGGCAGTTACCCTTATGGGAGGCGTGGCAAGCATCACCTGCATTGGGAGTGGGAGATGTGGGCTATAAAGGGTCCCTGGGCAGCAGTTGCAGCTTGTGCTGGACCCTGGTAGGCAGGATGAGGCCTGGAAGCAGCCTGGGGTTTGCTCTTTTCTGCTCTTTGCTTGGGGGGATTGTTGCTTACAACCCCTGGGACTTCTTTAGAGGAGAGGCTGAGCTATGGAGGTACAGAGAGGATCCTTCCTTAGGCTATCCCCATACCTTCTCCCAGCCTTGGGCATGGGTGGACTTGTCCCAGCTGCAGGCTGCAGCCCCGCTGCACCCTGTGGCTGTGCGGTGCCAGGAGGCGCAGGTGATGGTCACGGTGCACAGGGACCTCTTTGGCACGGGGCGCCTGGTGCGGGCTGCGGAGCTGAGCCTGGGCTCAGCTGGGTGCCGGCCGGGGGCCCAGAGCGATGCTGAGAGCACCGTGACCTTCGTGGCTGCGCTGCACGAGTGCGGTAGCACCCTCAGGGTAAGGCTGGGGGGGGCTGGAGCCTTTGGGTGCGGGTCGTCTCTTGGTGCCTTGGGATGCTGAGACTGTGGATGCTGGAGTGGGGCCGTTATCAGGGCTGTAGGGACAGGCCAAGGGGAATGGCTTGAACCTGCCCGAGAGGAGACTGAGCTGAGCTCTTAGGCAGAAGCTCTTCCCTGTGAGGGTGCTGAGGCGCTGGCACAGGGTGCCCAGAGAAGCTGTGGCTGCCCCATCCCTGGCAGTGCTCAAGGCCAGGTTGGACACAGGGGCTTGGAGCAAGCTGCTCCAGTGGAAGGGGTCCCTGCCCGTGGCAGGGGATGGAACTGGATGAGCTTTAAGCTCCCTTCCAACCCAAGCCATCCTATGACTGGCAGGGCTGTGCTGTAGTTGGACTCGGGGAGGGTACACAAGGGATGGGGAAGTTTTCATCCTGCCCACCACAGAGGTACCGAAGTCTTCCAGGGCTCTCTGTGCTGGTGCTGCCACCTCGAGGGGAGGGCCCAGAGGACCTGGTGCTGGGAGCCACTGCAGCAGGCCAGCACGGGATGCTGCCTCAGAAGGCATCAGTGTCGCTGCTGCTTGAGTGTAGCATGAAGAGCTTAAACTGGAAGTGGCCTTGCTCCCCTGGGGGAGGCTTGGTGCTGTGAGGGTGAGCAGGTCCCCGCAGCAGAAGTCGCTCTGATACCCTGGGGATGACACTTTCCTGCCTGTTGTTCTGGGCCATGGGAACTAGAAGGGAAAACCCGGGTATTGGCTTGAACAGCTCTGCTGCTGAGCAGAGGCTGTGCTGGGACAGGCTGGAGCAGCTTTGCATCCCTGCAGCAGGATGAGGGCCACTCACCTGCATCCAGCCCATGGTCTATTGGCTGATGTTCATCTCGGTGCTGTCTCCAGGCTTCAGTGTGCTGCTCTGTGCATGTGGCCTGAAGAACAGGGCTCTTGATGCCTGGGTGATCTCTTTCCCCAGGTGACCCCCGATGCTCTGGTCTACAGTACAAGCTTAAACTACAACCCAGCTCCTCCTGGCAACCCCGTCGTCATCCGCACCAGCCCTGCCATGGTTCCTATAGAGTGCCACTACCCAAGGTGAGCTGAGGCAGGTGAGGACCAAGCAAGCCCTTCTGCTGCCATGAGGATCTAACCATGAGCATCTCTCCCCAGGAGGGATAACGTGAGCAGCAATGGTGTCAAGCCCACGTGGGTACCCTTCCTCTCCACCCTGTCCTCGGAGGAGAAGCTGCCCTTCTCTCTGCAGCTCATGAATGGTAGGTTTTGGTGAGGGTCTCCTGGTGCAGACCTCTGAGGTGCTCGTGCTTCCATCAGATGGTGCTGCTGTCACCGCAGCGCTCCTGGGGCACTGGGTTTGGTCCGGTTTGGGTGGGTACCCAGGGCCTGTTGTACTTCACTGCTTCCACCCCAAGCAGTGCCTGGTGAGCTCTCTCCTTCCAGATGACTGGAGCGCTGAGAGAGCCTCCCCCGTATTCCAGCTGGGAGAGGTCCTGCACTTCCAAGCTGGTGTCACCGTGGAGAACCACGCACCCCTGAGGCTCTTTGTGGACAGCTGTGTGGCCACCCCAACCCTGGACAGGAGCTCTTCCCCCCAATATGCTTTCATTGACTTCAATGGGTAAGAGCTGGCTGTGCCCTTGCTTGAAGAGCACCTTTCTGCAGGCTATGGCAGCTCTGAAAGTGGGATCCTCTTGTGTGCAGGTGCCTGGTGGATGGGCAGCTGGATGATTCCACCTCGACCTTTATATCCCCGAGGCCCAGGCAAGATGTGCTGCAGTTCGCAGTAGATGCATTCAAGTTTGCAGGAGACTCCAGCAACCTGGTAAATCCTTCCTAAAGCAAGTGAATTCCCTCATCTAGATGGGGTTGCGGCCTCTGGAACTCCGTTCCCAAGGCAGCTGCCTCATGGCAATGTATGAGTGAGGTCATACACTGGAGCATAGTCAAGGAGCATGGCCCTCTGAGCCAAGTATCTCCCTTGGAGACCAGTTGTGATACTGGTCAAGATGAGCCCTTCTGATGGGCTTCAATAGCTGAAGCCTCAAGTGGCTGGAAGGAAAGAGAGCCTTGGGATGTTGGTGCTCCCATTGGAAGCGAACTTCATGGTGCAGAAGGAAGCCATAAAGGCAAATGAGAGCTGAACCCTGCTCCTGTTCTCCCCAGGTCTACATCACCTGCCACCTGAAGGTGTCCCTGGCTGACCAAGCTCCAGACCCTCTGAACAAGGCTTGCTCCTTCAACAAAGCCAGCAACCTGTGAGTAGCTGGAGCAGCTTGCCCAAGGGTGAAGAGCTGGGGCTTCTCATGGGGTGCCACCTCTGGGGAAGGTGGGGTGGGATCCGGGTGGGAGGTTTTGGCTCTCTCCTTTGAGGCCCTGAAGGCCATGAGGGGTTCCCACCATCGGATGGGCTGATCACTGGGCTCTCTCCTAGCTGGGCCCCTGTGGAAGGCACCCGGGATGTGTGCTCCTGCTGTGAGGTGAGGAGCTGTGGCTTGGCCAGGGACTCCAGGAGACCCCACGCTCCATCCCGATGGCAAGGGGGACGTGCCCGGAGAGCGCTGCCCTCCCAGCCTGGTATGTCTCTGTGTGCCTCTGGGCCTTGGTCCCCATCGTGGTAACTGGCTCAGAGCTGCCTCGCTACCCCTTGGCTAATCCGAGATGCTCAAGTGCGTTTGGGTGCTCAAAGGTCCTCCCTTCCAGATCCCTTGGTGAAAGAAGCAGATGTTGTGGTGGGACCCCTCTTCATCCACAGCTGGGAGCATCACCCACTTCAGAGGATGCCTTCACAAGGTAGGGCAAATCCAGGGGAGGGGAGGGCTTGTGTGGCAGGTCCTGGCTCTGGCCATAACCACCTCCTTGCTTCTCCTTCCTAGATGCAGCCCAGTTGTGGATGGTTTTGGGGCTGGCCACGGTTGCTGGTTTGGTCATTGTGCTCCTCGCTGTTGTAGGAGCTCTGGCTGCCTGCCGGAAGCTGAGCAACCCTGTTTAATTCAGATGCCACCTTTCAGAGCCTATCCAGTAATAAAGTGTAAGTTGAATGACTGAGGGGTTGAGTGAAGAAGTCTTATTGGAGAGGCAGCCAGACCTTCATGCTGACTCTAAGTGTGCTGCTTTGAGTCTCCAAACCCAACTGAAGCATCTTTCTCCTGCCCCCCCATGTTCTCAGCTCTGTACAGCCTTTACACCCCCATGAGCAGAGCTGGCAACTGGATGCCAACACAAAGCACTACCCAGATGCCTTTCCTTGTCTGCACAAGCATGGAGTTCTACCTCTCTGTGGGGCTGCTTGGGTCAGCTCCATCCTGGTAACCCCTTATTCAATGAGGGTTTAATCAAACTTGCTGGAAGCTGGTTTGGGGAGAGGAATGGAGCTTTGCTGGTGGAGGAAGGGAGCACGACTTGAGGGATTTTCCTAGGCCACAGGCAGGAATTCCAGTCCCTGCCCCAAGGACTGTTTACACATAGTTCTATGTAAGAAGCCTTGGCTGACATGGATAAACAGTCCTTGGGGCAGGGGCTGGAATTCCTGCCCGCTTCCCCCCCCACACTCCAGAAAGGAGATTTCTGACATGCCTCAGTCGTGTTTGCTTTGCTTATTCCTTCTCCTGTGGAATGTGGGCTCTTTGCCTAGCACAGGAGCTGTAATGGCCAAGATGTTCGTACCTCAACCCCAAGACCTGGGTTTAGGCTTTAGGCATCAGTGGGAACTGGCCCAGCTGAGCAGCTGGAGCTGTGGGGTTTGCTGCTGGAGCAAATCCAGGTGGCTGGATTCAGGGAAAACTGAGCCCTGTGAGGAGCTGGGGCTGGCTCACAGCACGGCTGCTCCTTGAGCTCGTTTGCAAGGGCAGGAATCATAGAATCAGGACTTGTGCCACCTCTTCGCCTGCTCATGGGGAGGTTGGGCAGCTCTTTTGGTCACGGATCACAGAGGAAAGTGGTATCCTGTGCAAGCTGGTGTCTTCGGGTCTCATCCAGCACCCTTGGAGCCCCTCAGCTGGATGCTCTTTGCTGGATGTCACTTTGTACTGGGATCTCTTTGGTACAAGATGGATGTGAGCCTTTGGGTCACCTAAACCGTGTCCCATCCCTTCCCTGGGTGTTGGCTTGGTTGCTCACAGTTCTAAAAGCAAATTAGCCCTCCCTTAACATGACAAAAGTAGTTCTGGGCTGGATCAGGGAGCTGCAGGGATTTGGAGCGGGGATTAGCCATGGCCTCATCCCTCATCCTGTGTTGGGATGTCTTGCAGTGAGATAGGAGCTTTTAGAGGCAAGTCTTCACCATCCTCTGAGAGCTGTGAGAGCAGAAGGGAGAGGAGGAGAACAGAGCATGGACACAGGGGTAGAAGTGATCCAAGTCCAACACTGGCTGTATCAGGCTGGCACTTCCTCACCCAACCTGAACCTTGCAGTCCATGTTGAACAGAATCATAGGATCAGCTAGGTTGGAAAAGACCTTTAAGATCAAGTCCAACCATTACCCCCAGACTGACAAGTTCACCTCTAAACCCTGTCACTGAGGACATCACCATGTCCTTTGAACACTTCCAGAGTCTGTGATTCCACCTCTTCCCTGGGAAGCCTGTTCCAAGGCCTGAGCATCCTTACAGTGAAGAAGTTGTTCCTGAAACTCAAAAGTTATGAAAAAGCATCTTAAGGAGCACAAAGTCAATAAATGGCTCCTCCAAAACCTTACACTTGGTTACATGCAACACAGCAAACACATGCAATAAAAAGCTTAGTAAGATGTAAATGAGAAGGTGCCATATTAAACCAAAAACCAGTAACTGGCATTTAGGAAATACAGCTACTAAAATGGATTTACTCATCAGCAACTGTTTGGATTATTATCCTAAATTAAAGTAATGAGAAGATGATTTTAACAGAATTAGGAGGCTTTCTTAAATAGAAATCTACTGTTTCCATCACAGGATAGTTATCAGTGTTTCATAGTAAAATTCATTTGGAGACAAAAAGGATAGGAACAACTTTTAATCTTCATGTAACTGATTCCTTATTGCTCAGCATCTTCCTGCCCATCCCAATCACTCAAATTACCACAGCTGCCTCCAGGAAAGAAGACAAATATCAGCCAAATCTGGTCTACAAGGAACTTTGGGATGTGGAAATGCTTTCTGCCTTCCTGGGCAGCGTCACTGGCTCCGGTAATGCTCTACAGCAGCACTGACCTCAAGTTTTGACTTAAAACTTTGTTATGAGCAAAACTGAGCTCTTTTAATGTCTCCTTTATACAACTGGGGGAAAGCACTGGGGTTTCTGCTTGCCCAGTGCCCTGGGACCCTGTGGTCTCCATCAAAGACCTGAGCTCATGCTCTTTCCCAGCGGTGCCGGACCATGGCCAGTGTCATCTTGTGCTTGGAATACAGGGCAGCTGCTCCTTGCTAATCAGGGGGCAGAAATCCCCTTCTTCATACATAAACACCTCCTCTGCCCTGGGTCTGGGCATGTTTCTGCACCTGGGCATCACCTTTGCTAATGTGAGAGCTATAGCCACAAGGTGACCCATCAGAGGGATTTATTCTCCTGCTGGGATCAAATCCTGGTACCCAAAGGCTCACAGCCTAAGCTGGCCCCTGAGCTGTGGCTCTCTGGGATGCAATGGAGTGAGGCCAGGCATCTCGCATGGTCCTTGCAATCAAGGACCCAGCTGAGGAGCGATGCTCTCCTGCTGGCTGTGGGGCAGCAGCTTATTTACTGATACAGCATCACCCGCTGCCGTTATCTCTGTGACGCATGGGCTCAGGAATCCCTGGCATTCCTACGCCAGTGCCAAGCTCAAGGTACTTTAAACATGAAGGAGAAGGCCTGGACCACTGACAACAGCAGGGCTGGGGCATTGGCTCCTAAGGGAAAGGCAGAAGGTTTTATACTTGCATATGGGTGGTTTTGGGGACGCTGAGCCAGATGCAAACTCCAAAGCTGGTGGGATTCCTACTAGGAGCAAGCTGGGCCATGTCTGCCCCAAAAGCTTTCCATTTCTTTTCATTTTCTCCAAAATGGCTCAACTCAGACATCCAAATCAGAGGCTTTCCACTGTCACTGAGGCCTGCCAGGGACATCTCAAAGGACAGAGAGGGATTTAGGGTATGAAACAGAGCATCCCTCATAGGGAGCCAATGGGATGCTTGCATTCCCTGGCAGGGAAAAAGAGTTAAAAGACACTCAAAAGAAGGGCCAAAGAACTCAATTACGAGTCTTGAAAACACAGATGGTGCCTTTTTAAGCAGCTTTCCCTGTTCTCCAACCGTGAGGAGCTCGCAGGGGGTGGGATACAGGCTGGGATGCTGTGCATGGGGAAGGGAGCGATGAGAAGAGGGCCTCGCCTCCAGCTTCTGCTGTTCCAAGTTCATTTCCTTGAGGGCAACCAAACAAACACAAGCAAAAGAGCTGGGGAAGGGCAGCAGAGAGAAAAAATGAGAGGTTTTGTCCCTGCAGCCGATGACCTCAGTGCTGAAATGGGGTTTGTTCAGCCCTGGCTGAGAACAGCCGTGCTCATGTCAGTGATGAGGGCTCTCCGTCAGCTGCTCCTGACCGAGCATCGCGGTCCCACAGGGGATGCGGGGGGATGTGTAAAGCCCCAGTTTGCGCTGGAGCTGTGAGCACATCAGCATCCAAGCGGAAAACCGAAGTCCCAGGGGGGCCAATGGCGCCGGGAAGGAACAGTCCCTGCGTAAGGGATGGGAAACACCCGGATCGGGATCACGGACCCTGCTCCTGCTCTGCCAGTTCCCCAGCAGCCTTGAAACCCCCCTTATCACCTTCTAACCTAAACAAGTCCCTTTGTACCAGTCTCCCCGTCTCCAGCCTCTGCTGAGTTTTATAAACAACTGCCCAAAGAGGCTGACAAAGACGTTTTCTCTCGCCTTGGGCAGCCCAGGAACGGGGGGTCCCAGCACCCCGGAAATGACGGGGTCATGCGTCCCCTCTCCCTGCACCCACGAGGGCTGGCCTTTGGGTACCATTGGTCCCCAAGCGGGAGCCCAGGGGCGGACAGCTCATGCTGCTGGGGGGATATAAGGCTGGAGGAGCAGCCTGGGCTCTCTGTGCTGGGGTTTGCTGGAAGAGGGAAGGATGGGACCCAGAAACGCCTTGATCCTCGCTCTTCTGTGCTGGGCAGCGGGCGAGGCGGCTGCCTACACTCCCTGGGACTTCTCCTGGGCTGACCTGGCGAGCCGGGGGGTGCAGGCAGACCCCCATGCATGGCCCTGGCTGGAAGACCCCCATTCCCGATCCATCTCCAGCAGCCAGCCGGTGGTGGTGCAGTGCCAGGAGGCTCAGCTGGTGGTGACGGTGAACAGGGACCTGTTCGGCACCGGCCGCCTGGTCAACGCGGCCGACCTGACGCTGGGGCCAGCAGCGTGCAAGCATTCCTCACTGAACCAGAACTCCGTCGTCTTCACCGCCGGCCTCCACGAGTGCGGCAGCGTTGTGCAGGTAAGACCTTCACCCCCTCCAGCTCCAGGATCCTGCCCCTCCGGGATCCTCCTCCAGGAGCAGCTCCAGGCTATGGGACCAGGTACAGTGATGCTGGGGGATGCTCTGGGTTCGGGATGCAGAGCACCATCAAAGACCATCCCCAGGGGAAGGGTACATGGGTATTTCCCCCAAACCAAAGCATTTTCCCCAGTGCTGGAGATATGCTGATGGTGGAAAGCCTCCCCATCAGACCCACTTTGCTCGTAGTTTTGCCCATTGGGAAGTTCAGCTCACTGAGAAAGGAGCAGCGTTCCTTCTCCATCCCTTTTTCTTCCCTTTCTTTGGCTTTCCCTGGCATTTCCCAGTTGGGGGTTGTTTTCTCTGACATCTTCCCAATGCTTTTCTGCCCAGATCACGCCAGATTCCCTCATCTACCGCACGCTCCTCAACTACGACCCCAGCCCTGCCAGCAACCCCGTCATCATCCGCAGCAACCCCGCCGTCATCCCCATCGAGTGCCACTACCCCAGGTGAGGTCTCCATGCCCCTGGTACCCAAGAGGATCCATGGGGACCAGCATGGGGCTGTACAATGATGCCCATTATCCTTGCCCAGGAGGGAGAACGTGAGCAGCAGCGCCATCCGGCCAACCTGGGCTCCCTTCAGCTCCACGCTGTCGGCGGAGGAGAAGCTGGTGTTCTCCCTGCGCCTCATGAATGGTAGGTGGGAAGCTGGGGAGGGGGGGTTCCACCCTTGTCCCAGTGTGGGGAAGCTCAGGGGTGCAGCACCCCACTGGGGTGAACACCAGCGCTCCTGCTTTTGGGATGGGCCTTGGCTCTGGTCCCACGGGGCCTCCCCTGTCACCCTTTGCCTTGCAGAGGACTGGAGCGCGGAGAGACCCTTCACTGGTTTCCAGCTGGGTGATGTCCTCAACATCCAGGCGGAGGTGGGCACCGAGAGCCATGTGCCGCTGCGGCTGTTCGTGGACAGCTGTGTGGCTGCCCTGAGCCCCGGCACCGACTCCTCACCCCATTACTCCATCATCGACTTCAACGGGTGAGCCCCAGGGACCCAGCCTGCAGCAACGCTGCGGGGGCACCCAGCAGGATGCTGACCCCCACCTCCCATCCCTCCCCAGGTGCCTGGTTGATGGGAGGTCGGATGACACCAGCTCTGCCTTCATCACCCCCCGGCCCCGCGAGGACATGCTGCGCTTCAGGATCGACGTGTTCAGGTTCGCGGGGGACACCAGGAACCTGGTAAGGCCGCGAGTGTCCCCCATGGGCCCCAAGCCGGTGTGCCCCAAGCAGCCGGTCCCCACCTCCCTCCTTTGCCCTCCTGCAGATCTACATCACCTGCCACCTGAAGGTGACCCCAGCGGATCAAGCCCCGGACCCCCTGAACAAAGCCTGCTCCTTCAACAAAGCCAGAAACACGTGAGTAGGCACCACACCGGGATGAGGGCACGAACGGGCAGGTCCCCTCCAGCACCCCACAGCCCCAGCGCAGCATCACGGACCTGGGGGGCAAGAATGCTCCGTGGGTGCTGGTGGGGGCTCTGGTGATGATGCTCACCCCCTGCTCCAGCTGGGCCCCCGTGGAAGGCACCCGGGACATCTGCAGCTGCTGCGAGACCGGGAACTGCGATTCCCCCGCGCAGTCCCGCAGGCTCAACCCCCTGGAGCGATGGCCGGGCCGCCGCTTCCGCCGCCACGATGCCAAGGGTGAGGTCCCTATGGGGACAGAGGGGACACCCCGGGCTGTGGGACAAACCCGCCTCATCGCTGCTTCCTCCGCAGGGAAAGAGGCTGAAGCCGACGTGGTCATCGGCCCCGTTCTCCTCTCGAGGGTCCCGGATGCCGTGGGGGAGCAGCAGGAGGGGGGTCACGGTGAGTGCCCTCTGGCTCCAGCCCCATGGCATGGCCCCAGCCCCATGGCATAGTCCCAGCCCTATGGCATAGCCCCGGTGACAAGACCTAACAGCCCCCTTTGGTTTTGCAGGTGAAGCGACAGCGATGCCCGGCATAGAGATGTGGCTGATAGGCGTGGTGGCCGGCGTGGGGCTGGCCGCCGCTGTGGGGCTGGCCGCTGTGGGGCTGGCCGTCGCTGTGGGGCGCAGGAGGTGCGCCCGTGCCTCGGCGTGAGCGTAGAGCGAGAGCCAAATAAAGCCATGGAACAACGAACGCGTCCGCGCTGCTCCCTCTGCCATCGCACCCCGGGGCCGTGCCAGGACCCCCACATCCCCCCCCCTGGAGGACGTCGCTGGCGGCTGTGAGCGGGGCCGCCCGGTGCGCTCGGCTCTGGGGCTGCAGCTCAAACCCCGCCTCCCTCCCTGGCACGGAGGCGGAGCGAGGAGCAGGCAGCGGCCGCCCCGAGTCAGGGTGAGGGGCGCGGGGACCCCGCGGGGTTGGACCGGAACCCCCGGGACCCTCAGCCGGCCCCAGCGCCACGGCGGGGTCTCGGCCCCTGCCGCCGGCGGTTGTTCTGTACACACCGTACGTGTAATCATGGAACACCGCCGCAGCAGCGGCCTCGTTACCGCCCGCAGCCCCAGCCCGGCCCCGCAGCACCATCGCCTCCCCTGCGGCTCCGGCTCCGGCACCGCTTGGGACCCACCCCCGGGCCCCGCTCGGCCCTGCCCCGCATCCGCGCCCCGCGACACCGCCGCTCCCGGCCCGCGGGGCGGCAGCACCGGCACCGGCAACTCCGCCAATCAGGGCCCGCCCCTTGCGCGCCCTGTACATCGCCGCCCAATCCGGGCTCGTCCTTTCGATCCAGCCCCGCCCCTCCCGGAGGCGCGGATGCTCCGTCCCCGCACTCCATTGCGGCCCCGGCTCTGTGGGGACCTGAATGGGCACCGGGAGCAGCCCCGCTACAGAGCGCCCGCTCGCCCTCCCCGGGGCCCAACACGCGCCCCAAGGGCCTACGGCAGCGGGACCGCTACCCCTGAGGCTCCGCGGAGCGGCGGGATCGGGGCCTATGGGGAATAGGAGCGGCGCGGCTGGACTGGACCGAGCGGAGAAGGGCGGGCTCGGCCGGGCCGGGAACTGGGTTAAGCGCTGACAGAAGGGGCGGGACCGGATTGAAGAGGCAGGGCGCGATTGGGTGCAGTGCAGAAGGCGGGCCTGGGATTGGCTGGGCGCGGTGAGGGCTGTCCCAGACCAGAGTGGCGGCCGCGGGGCCTGGCAGTGGTGGTGGTGCTGCCGCCTCGCGGACCGGGAGCGGGCGCTCTGCAGCGGGGCCGGTCCCGGTGCCCGTTCAAGCCCCCAGGGCCCGGAAGTGCCTCAGGAGGCGGCGACCCCGTGCGGCCGGGGCCCCTCCGGCCCGGAGCTCTCCTGGAGAGGGGCACCCGCGCTTCCAGGAGCGGCGGCGCTGCCACCGGGGCCTGCGCGCCACCGGGGCGGGGCTGGATCGAAAGGACGGGCCCGGATTGGGCGGCGATGTACAGGGCGCGCAAGGGGCGGGCCCTGATTGGCGGAGTTGCCGGTGCCGGTGCTGCCGCCCCGCGGGCCGGGAGCGGCGGTGTCGCGGGGCGCGGATGCGGGGCAGAGCCGAGCGGGGCCCGGGGGTGGGTCCCAAGCGGTGCCGGAGCCGCAGGGGAGGCGATGGTGCTGCGGGGCCGGGCCGGGGCTGCGGCGGTGTTCCATGAGCACACGTACGGTGTGTACAGAGCAACCGCCGGGGCCGAGATCCCGCCGTGGCGCTGGGGCCGTCTGAGGGTCCCGGGGGTTCCGGTCCAACCCCTCGGGCTCCCCGCGCCCCTCACCCTGCCTCGGGGCGGCGGCTGCCGGCTCCTCGCTCCGCCTCCGTGCCAGGGAGGCTGAAATCCCCAGAGCCAGGGTCCGCCAACGAAGTCCTCCAGGCTGGGCCTTCCGGGGTACAGCAGTCACCGGTCTCGCTGCTGCGAATGGGGGCGATGGGGGGAGCAGAAGATGGAGAGACAGGGGTTGGAGGGACAGGAGGAAGGGGGGGGTTAAGGGGGGATGTGTGCAGGATCTTATGTCAAGGCTGTGGCTCCCAAAGCATAACGGATGTCACCAAGAAGGTGACCGTGTCTCCGACCCCAGCCAGGGCAGCGAGGAGCGCTCAGGGTGTCTTGAGCACATCCTTCCCACCCCCCCATCCGATGTGCCCTGTGCTCCCCAGCACCCAGGGTTAAATAAAGGCCCCTGTGAAGAAGGCAACAGCTTTCCCTTGGGAGGGCTCCCCATCCGCTTTGTGTTGGGGACATCCATCAGTGAGCCACTGTGCCCTCAGTTAAACGCCAAGCTCTTAAAAGCAACGTGTTTTAATGAGTTCTGGTTTTAAAGCTCGTGAAAATAATAAAAATATCAATAATAATCATAAAAAGAACACCCCATGGTTTCCAGTCATCTCAAGGACTCCATCCCTGGTTCCAGACAGACTGAGCGAGCCCCCCATTAAGGTAACGCGATTCCCAGCACCTTTGGTCCCAGAAGCAACCAGAGCATCCCTGCCCGGGCAGCACCTCCAAATCCAGGCTTGTCTCCTCCCCTCCCAAGGAGGTGGCATCACCGGAGACACCCCCCCCCCATAAAAAGATGCCAAAGGGGTTAAAGACTACAGAGCTTTCTATTGCTAATATGCGATTTACGTCCTTTATACAGTATTTATGGGCCCCTGCCTTTATTCCAGCATTGGTTTCCCTTAGGAAACGGGATAAAACCCAAAAGATTAAGGAAAAGTTAAGTATAAAAACCTATTTCAAATACTCGTTCTTGCTTCCCCTCCTTTTAACATGAAGGGGGGGGGGGGGGATTTCTCTCTTTCTGGAGGGGTCTCGAGGAGCTGCTGATGGTCTCTGGTGGGACAGAGGAGCCAGCTCAGGCACTGTGTCGAGAGGGGGACAGAGGTGGGGGCAGCTGAGGTCCCTCCGGCCCTGCTCCCATCAAGATCTGGAAGGAGACAGAAGGGAAAGAAGAAAAATAATCCAGGATTTGGGGAATGCATTTAGGAAAAGATTTTAAAATGCTATTTTAAAGGCAGAAGGGGGGGGGGGGGGGAGTCTCTTAAAAGTTATCTTCCTAAAAGTTATCTTCCTTCTTCCCTGGAATAACCAGGAAATGCAATGTATAGGGAGTGAGACACCAACCCCCAGCTCCTCCACTCGCCAAATGCGGTTTCTTTTTGCTGCTGAAGGAGAAAAACTGGATGAAAGGGAGGAAAAAGGGATCTGAGCCCTATACCTGGGGGTGGGTTGAAGGCTAAGAGAGCAGAGAAGGACAGATGGAGAGAGGACAAACGGGCACGGCCTTACTGGGAAATCTTGCAGTTTGTCGTGGAGACGTAGCGCCCGGTGTAGTGGATGTTGCACCTCACCACGTTGTTGGTGAAGTCCGACTCCAGGACGATGTATTTGGGGTTCACTTGAACCTAAAAGCGGGGGAAAGGGAAAGCAAAACACTGTAAAACGTAGTGAGAGTGGGGGTGAGAAGCACCTAAACCCATGTGAAGGGGACGGCACCAAAATAGGTGCGCGGTCCCAAACCTGACTGCAGAATCATAGTCAACCAGGTTGGAAAAGCCCTTTAAGCTCATCCAGGACAACCATTCCCAGCGCAGCCAACCTATGGCACTGAGGGCCTCATCTACATGGACACTTGCAGGGAGGGTATCTCCATCATTGCACTGGGAGCCTGTTCCAATGCCTGAGCAACCCTTGGTTGAGGAGATCCCAAAGTGACCCCAAATGGGTATTGTTTGCCCCTAAAAGTCTCCCCCCCACAACCCCATCCACCTTTAGGACGTAATTCCCCGGCTGCACATCGGTGATATCGATCCACTGGCAGTCGATGTCAGCGTTGTAGGTGTCGTAGCACCCCGGGCTCAAGCCCTGCAGGGACAAAAGGGGGGTTCAGGGTGTGCTGGGGAGGGGGAATGACACCCCAAGGTGCTCCTTGAGCATCCCCGCAATGAACCTGGGTGTGGGCTGTGCAGGCGTAACGCTTCAGGTTGCCGAAGTCACAGGTCGTGTCCTCCAGGCAGAAGCTGGCCTTGTGGCCCTCAGCCACCTTCCTGCCCGTGGTGGCATCCAGCAGGTCGTAGTGGCTGAACTCATCCATGCTGTGGTAGTGCCTGGGGAGGGAGAAGGAGGGACAGACAGAGTGACACCACTCCCCAAATGGCATCATCCCCTCCCTCCCCACATGTGATTTTGAGGGGGTCACCATCAATCCTGGCTCCACACCAGCTTTCAATGGGAACAGCAGTGCCCAGAGAAGCTGTGGCTGCCCCATCCCTGGCAGTGTTCAAGGCCAGGTTGGACACAGGGGCTTGGAGCAAGCTGCTCCAGTGGAAGGGGTTGGATCTGGATCAGCTTTAAGATCCCTTCAACCCACACCATTTGATGATTCCATCATTCTTATTAATTGCAGGACCCCGGCGACTTTAGGGCTAAAGAAGTGAATTAGGTGACACCCCCCTCACCCCAGAGACCTCAAGGCAAAGCCACACAAGGGGCAAAATGCCCTTTGGGCATCCTCCCAACCGGGATGGGCAGAGGGGCCTGGGGACACTCACTGGTGGCAGCTGTGCCATTCCCAGCTGTGCCGGGGCCGGCTGGGCAGGAAGTCGGCCGTGCCCTGGTTCTTCACGCGCTGGGGAAACCTCAGCAGCACCCGCACGTCGTAGTCGGTGGTTTCCGGGGTGTAGGCAGTGCTGGGGACACAGCGGGGTCAGTGCCTCTGTCCCCCCCCTGCCCTGGGGAGCAGGAGAGCCCCAGTGCCCCTGAGCAGGAAAACCCTCCATGGGAAAGGGAATTAGGGATGAAGAAGGAGGGGAGAGAAGGTCCTGGCCCTGCAGCACCCCCCGGACACCTCCCTTTGGCCTCCTTTGCTCTGTGCTTTGCATCAGGCTTCCCTTAGCTCTTCGCTTTCCCCTTCCCTCTTTCCTTCTCTCCTTCATCCTTCGTCCCCTTCCCTTCTCCTTTCTTCTTTCCTCTTCTTTCCCCTTTCCTTCTCCGTCTTCCTCCCCATTCCTCTTCCCTCTCCTTTTCCCTGTTCTTCTCTCCCCTTTCCCACTCCTTCTTTTCTATCCTTCCCTTTCCATTCCCTTTCCGTTTCCCTTCTCTTTCCCTTTCCTTTCCTCTTCTCTTTCCCCTTCCCTCCTTTCTATCCTTCCCTTCCCTTTTCCTTTCCCCTTTCCTCTTCCCTATTTTTTTCCT